AACAGCGCATAGCAAACCGCTTCGGCAGCGGCAATATTATGCTATGCTACGCTTACATGTATATACACAGCCCACATCGTTCCCGAACGTCACGTTGTTGTTCCATGACGTAACAAAGAATACATCCTTCTATGACGTGTAAATGAACGTGGAACATGACAACCAGTTTTGTGTTGCGCCATTCGAACGATGTCGCTGCAACGCCATGTTCGATTAAACCTGCTCTTCAAACGTCGGGAGATTTATTTACAGTTTTAGTCAACTTACGTACGATAATATCCCAACCTTTAGTATAATTAGTGATACTGTGGATGCAGAGGGTGTTCCGATCTTCAGTTACAGGTGCGTTTCGTGTGGAGTAAGAGGAACATCCTGCATACTTCCTTTGTTGAGTAAAGTCAAGTCTTCGGTCAGGTAGGAACTACAAAATTACAGTTTGAACCGTAACGTTACCGCTCTTATTTTCATTGAAATCTCTGAAGATTCCCCAGCACCTTTTAGTTGTATACACTGCTGGGTGTTTGTTTCCTTGTTCATGTGTGTGTGTGCGCGCGTGTGTGTGTGTGAGAGAGAGAGAGAGTGTGTGTGTGTGTGTGTGTGTTTGTGTGCGCGTGTTTGTTTGTTTGTTTTTCTAGTCTTCTTTGAGACTTGTTCTGGTAGATTATACGACCAAAGTATTCAGAGTTGATGAAGAATGTTTACTTTATTTATGTTTTATTATCATACTACCATCGATGTATGGATGATTATTGTTTTTATCCGTACAATTCTCAATACACTAGTGTGCGTCAGTTCCCAGATTTCTTTTGGTGTCTTTTGTAAAACGTGTTTCCACGTGTGAAAAAGATTGCCCACATATAATTTTCTAGAATTATATACAATGATAAGATTTGACCAGGCCCTCAAATCATGTGACCGCCGATCACGATATCATCTGAAGCGGGTTTAGGACTAGCCAAAATCAAAAGAATCGCTGTGAGAGGTTAGTAAGAGAAGTGCTGAAAACAACGCCTCGTTCACGTAACAGGTTCCCTTACAAAAAAGGAATCCTCCAGTACCACGGCGCCTTGTACAAGTGAGACAGATCTTCAATATCAGCTGTGTTATGTGTGGAGAAGAAGGGGAGTATTCCGATCTTCAATAGCAGCTGTGTTATGTGTAGAGAAGAAGAGGAGTATTCCGATCTTCAGTTGCAGCTATGTTATGTGTGGAGAAGAAGAGGAGTATTCCGATCTTCAATAGCAGCTGTGTTATGTGTGGAGAACAAGAGGAGTATTCCGATCTTCAATAGCAGCTGTGTTATGTGTGGAGAAGAAGAGGAGTATTCCGATCTTCAGTTGCAGCTATGTTATGTGTGGAGAAGAAGAGGAGTATTCCGATCTTCAATAGCAGCTGTGTTATGTGTGTAGAGGAAGAGGAGTATACCGATCTTCAATAGCAGCTTTTTTGTTTGGAGAAGAAGAGGAGTATTCCGATCTTCAATAGCAGCTTTATTTTGTTTGGAGAAGAAGAGGAGTATTCCGATTTTCAATGGCAGCTTTTTTCTTGTTTGGAGAAGAAGAGGAGCATTCCGATCTTCAATTGCAGCTTTTTTTTTGTTTGGAGAAGAAGAGGAGTATCCCGATCTTCAATAGCAGCTGTGTTATGTGTGGAGAAGAAGAGGAGTATTCCGATCTTCAATAGCAGCTGTGTTGTGTGTGGAGAAGAAGAGGAGCATTCCGATCTTCAATAGCAGCTTTTTTGTTTGGAGAAGAAGAGGAGTATTCCGATCTTCAATAGCAGCTGTGTTATGTGTGGAGAAGAAGCAATACCAGCTTTTTTGTTTCGAGAAGAAGAGGAGTATATCCCGATCTTCAATAGCAGCAGTGTTATGTGTGGAGAGGAAGAGGAGTATACCGATCTTCAATAGCAGCTGTGTTTTGTGTGGAGAAGAAGAGGAGCATTCCGATCTTCAATAGCAGCTGTGTTATGTGTGGAGAAGAAGAGGAGCATTCCGATCTTCAATATCAGCTGTGTTATATGTGGGGAAGAAGAGGAGTATTCCGATCTTACATAGCAGCTTTTTGTTTGGAGAAGAAGAGGAGTATTCCGATCTTACATAGCAGCTTTTTTGTTTGGAGAAGAAGAGGAGTATTCCGATCTTCAATAGCAGCTTTTTTTTGTTTGGAGAAGAAGAGGAGTATCCAAATCTTCAGTAGCAGCTGTGTTATGTGTGGAGAAGAAGAGGAGTATTTCGATCTTCAATAGCAGCTTTTTTTGTTTGGAGAAGAAGAGGAGTATCCAAATCTTCAGTATCAGCTGTGTTATGTGTGGGGAAGAAGAGGAGTATTTCGATCTTTAACAGCAGTTTTTTTTGTTTGGAGAAGAAGAGGAGTATCCAAATCTTCAGTAGCAGCTGTGTTATGTGTGGAGAAGAAGAGGAGTATTCCGATCTTCAGTAGCAGCTGTGTTATGTGTGGAGAAGAAGAGGAGTATTCCGATCTTCAATAGCAGCTTTTTTTTGTTTAGAGAAGAAGAGGAGTATCCAAATCTTCAGTAGCAGCTGTGTTATGTGTGGAGAAGAAGAGGAGTATTCCGATCTTCAAAAGCAGCTTTTTTTGTTTGGAGAAGAAGAGGAGTATCTAAATCTTCAGTAGCAGCTGTGTTATGTGTGGAGAAGAAGAGGAGTATTCCGTTCTTCAATAGCAGCTTTTTTTTGTTTGGAGAAGAAGAGGAGTATTCCAATCTTCAATAGCAGCTGTGTTATGTGTGGAGAAGAAGAGGAGTATTCCGATCTTCAATAGCAGCTGAGTTAAGTGTGGAGAAGAAGAGGAGTATTCCGATCTTCAATAGTAGTAGCTCTGTTGCCATTCGGTTAAAGAAATATTCTTATGTTATTTGAAGTAGTTTTGATATTATCTTTCGAAATTTTTTAGTAATTTAGTAACCGTATGATACACAGCCCTACATAATCGATGGTTTAGCGAAAGGTTTATATTTTATTTCTGTTTAGCATCATCGTTTTTTTTAGTTTTTGAATAGATATACGTACGCCGTCGTAATAGATAGTCAATTTTCATATTGTACATGAACATTTTGTGTTGCCTTGCAGGATATGATTTAGTAGAAATCCCAGAGAAGCTCATTGGTTGTTTTGCACAAGGCTCTGGTGCACGTCCCCCATTTTTTGCCTTCCTTATTTCAGGAGGTTTTTAGGGGTTGCGTGGCTGGCAAACAACACTTCATTTCTAAATTCACTGTAAGAATCGCAAATGTTGGCATTTGGCATAATTACGTTTTCGCGAAATCTATTCTAGTGAATTCTAGCCAACTTGCGATAGATTTCGTTTGGTTTGTAAAAGTTGAAGCTTTTTTGTTTAGGACCACTTTCGAATGTTCATCAGACATTTGGCTTCGATATGAAAGAGCACCAAATGACTATAATTAATACGTTACCAACGTTTCTGTTTCGGACCAGTTTAGATCAGTTGGAATTTGCTATAACATTTTGCTGCAGGTTTTTGTTTCGGTCCAGTTTTGATCTTTTATTTCTGAACGTTTCGACACTTTTTACCATGCATTATATTACTATGATATGTTACGGACGTTTCTTTTTCGGACCAGTTTAGATCAGTTGGAATTTGTGCAGGTTTAGCATTCCGTTTCGGTCCTGTTTTGGTATGATCATTTCTGTACGTTTTGGCACTTTTGGCATTAAAGTTGCTCACTCGCGTTGTCTAGGTACACGCGCCAAATCCTACACACGAGTCCGTGCATTTTCTTCGTTGAAATGTTCGGGTGCACATCAAGAGAGAGCGAGCGAGAGGGACATGTAAGTGAGAGAGTGTATGAGAGAGCGGGAAAGGGAGATAGGGAAGAAAGAAGGAAGGTACAATCACGTGAGAATGGGTGATGCAGTGTTGGTATGAGTCTTGTGTCTCTAGCTCTACATGTTAGTATTCAGCCTGCTTCGACAGCCATTGTGCAACATAATTGTGTTCATTAAAGGGTAAGGCAGTAGGGAGAAGGTTGAATGTGCCACTACCTACTAGTAACCTAGTACCAGGCAAACGATATCTGCCCTTAACGTAGCAGAGTAGAAGGAATGCAATAGACACAATTCATCCATTACTCAGTTTATTGTTCAATCGTGATAATCACAGAAAGCGAACACAAGTTGGCAGAATGCAAGTTTTAAATTCCTTCAGAAACTACAATATCCGATAGTATTTTGTTTTCCCTGTTGTAATTTTTACAAGTTTTTGGTGATGGCATTTGTTGCTGTTATCTATATTTGTGTACCACAAGGAAGCATTCTGGGCTCACTCATAACAATAGTTTTAAACGAAAAGGCCTTTGACATAAGGCTTAACATAACAGATTAGCTAGGTTTTGTCTAACTTTGAAAGCAGAAGCAAGAAAGGATAGTCTTCAAACACAATGTGGAAAAATCTATATTTCTATCAATAATTTCGAATAGCAAGCCTCCCTCACTAAAGGTGCTAAATATCTTTGAACATTCTATTATGCAGAACAGCTGGGTTGACAAAGTATTGCATATATCACTCTGACTAGTAAATATGTTTTCTAAGATTTACTTTGTATTTCTATATGTAGTTTGTTGTTGACTGTACGAAAGTTGCTGTATTTTTTGTTGCATCAAAAAGCTTCTTTGTATCTTCACAGTCTCCCTCTTTTTAAGCAGTCTAATTTCATTCTCTTTATTCAACAAATAAGCCTAGTATTACTGCAGTATCTACAGAAGGAACAAACAAGTTACATTTTCTTCCATGCTGAAGTTTTCTTTGTGCCAAATGGTTCTCCAAGAGACGGGAAGTCCTGAATCAGACCTGGAGGAGGTAGAACAGAGGACAGGGCGGGGAAGTCATTATCAAGGCTATGTTTCTGAGTGTGTGTACTGAAGTCACTGTTCTTCACGATCTGAAGACAAGTCGGACAAGACAAACACTGCGAACTGATGTCGCAACTTTGCTGACCGCTCGCCGTGACCGCCTGCCACAGTTCTTGCTGCTTGCGCGCGTCCGGCAGCAGCACGAGAAGTTCCACGAAGATGGCGGAGAAGCTTTTCTGGAAGAGTTTGCAGCAGATGGTGTAGTACTCGGCCGCCGGCAGCGCGCCCTGACGGAACCTCCGGGAGAAGTCCTTGAACTGCCCGATGTTGTTGTTCTCCTTCAGACACTCCATGATGGACGACATGAGCTGCTGATTACGCTGCTGGAAATTGTCTGGCTGGATGTACGGCCCGGGATCGACTGCGGGAAGGGGGAGGGGGGCAGGGGCAAGGGGTTCTGGGGCGGTGTACGGTTGGAACCCTGGGGGAGCTTTTGTGATAGGTGGCCCCTGGACGAGGGAGTCTGCAAGCTGGGACAGACCCGGAGGCGGTCCTGCCGCTTGAACAGGTGGTTTCCCTAAACCAGGCGGCAAGATTTCCTTAGGTAGTGCTGTGCTGAAGTAGGCACTTGAAACGTCAGAGCCAAGACTGGGGAAGTCCGCATCACTAAACGACGGGGCGTCGGTAAACGAAGGGACATCAACTTCCTTATCACTGTCTCCTTGTACATTTATATCGTTACCGTCCCCTTGCGTATTGTCTTCAGATAGCAGAGTGGTTGGCTCCATGCAGTTATTCTTCGCTTGCTCTGTTGTGTCATTCTTCAGGCCATCTCCATTCTGTGCCACCAAAGTAGCAGCAGCATCATCAACTTGTTTCAAACTGTTTGCAACGTCATTCAAACTCTCTACCTTCCCCTTCTCATCATCCTCTCCACTTCCACCACCTTTATTCTTCTTCCTCTTCTTCTTCTTTTTCTTATTAGCCGTATCTTCTGACACCTTCTTTTCAGCTTTTTGTCCTTCTGACACCTTCTTTTCAGCTTTCTGTCTTTCAGAACCCTTACTTTTGTCCACTGGTTCCTCATTAGCTAAAGTGGACCACTTCGAAACTACTTGTGGTTTAGTCTGTTTTGGTTTCTTTGTCCACTGCAGAGAAGTTTTTGCAGCGGGGGCTAACGCGGGAAAGTCGTCTTGCGTTGGCGGTGCCTGAGAAACAGCTCTTCTGTTCACGTTCTCTTTATCTTGTGTCGGCACGACCTGTACTTTGCTCCAGGGAACGTAGTTTGCTGGTAAAGCTGGGTACTCCTCCTCTTGTGGACCGTGTTTCGGGGCAGTTTTAGTAGTTTTACTCTGGTTCACGTTTCCTGAGGGCTGCGGTCTTTTGGGTACAGCTGCCTGGATGGGATTGCTCTGTTTTTTGAGAGTCTGTAGAGGAGGAAAGTCTTGGGCAAGCCGTTGGCTAGCTGACATCCCAGATGTTGACTCAGACCCTGTCCACCGGCCTGCTAGTGGTGCTACGGGGTTCGTCTTTTTCTGGTTGGCACCAAGCTCGGGAAAATCCTCTTCGTTTAAAGTCCCGTTCTTCACAGACCTGCAAAGGAAAATCAAAATATTTGTCATCCCAGGAAAAACCTGCTATAAGATCAACAACCTGCTATTTTCTTATTCCTGTACATCTATTTTAAAAATAAGACAATTGCTATGTAGATAGTTGTGTAGATAGATACTTAATTTAATGGCAGAGGGGTAAAAAAAAATTAGATAGAAATTTCAAGCACAACCAACCACCATTGACGGGAAACAATGGATGTTAAACCAGACAGTGAGTGTTCAACCTTCAGTTGTAGGAATATACATACTAGCCTGGTTACCAAACCTATTATAGCTCCCGAGTCCTACATCCTCTCCGCTATTTGCGGAGAGGATGTAGGACTCGGGAGCTATAATAGGTTTGGTAACCAGGCTATATACATACTTCATTGACGCGACACAAGTATGGGGACTTCATAAATTCTTCAACAGTTACTGTCTTGTGCGCAGTACAGTCTGCCGATGTGCTACTGGTAAAGTAAGATAAGGTTGATATGTTACCTTCTGAAGTTGTGTCCGACCCTCATGGCCATACTCTGCTGTGCAGACGCTGCACCACTCTGGCTGGTCTGCTGCGAAGTCAGACTGCTCGCTACAGCTTTGAGCGAAGGAAAGTCCTCCGGTTTATCGAACAGGGAACCCGCCACTTCTCCGAGGGAAGGAAAGTCATCCGGTTTGACGGCGGGGGCGACGGAGCGGTCCTCTTCCCGGTCTTCCTTGCGATTTTCGGACTCGTACTGCACAGAGGCCTTCAACGCTGCCGCAAGCATGGCCTTTTCCCTTGTTCTGCCTGTTCCCTACAGAAATACATAATGATAGTAAGATTGTGAGATGCACAATGATAGTACATACAGTGGATGTCACTGAAAGACAGAAGAAAATGGCCAGACAATGCATGATGTAAAAATGACTGATAGACATGGTAGAAACTACAACTACAAAAAATGTATTACATATCTAATATCAGCTAAGAGAAGAACAAGAAATAGTGTAATGCCATGTCAAGTACCAGAGTTATCAACGAAGGATTGCAGTATTCAAAAACAAGAATTCTTGTACCTGTTATGAAATCGTTAGTTATCTAAATGCCTCTGACGAATGTCTGCTAATACAACATAGTCACTGGGTGTATACTGGTTATATATGTTTAATGGTTTAAATCACATTTCTGCACACATGTAAGTGTAGAACACTTATTTCAAAGTTGATCCTTTATCATAAACAACAGCTGAGTCTAGAAGGGTAGTACTACATTACATGTAGTACCTGTTACTACATTACATGTAGTACCTTTCTTGTTGTCCTTGTCCTTTCCTGTTTCTCCTGCCTGGGTGCTGGTTAGAACCCACATCCTCATAGTCTTCTCTATTCACCATACCTACAGAAATAAGGGAAAAGGGCACTGAAGTTAGATTCACTCAGGTAGGGGAGGGTGGCACTAACAAGTAGTACCAGTGCCATATAAACCATCATAGACATCTTTGAAATATTCCTTTCTACATGTACATGTATGTCTGACCCAGCAATGTGAATAACACTTCCATCTTGTTTGAAATTTGTAAATGTGCCACTTTCCTAGTGAATGCAATGTTTTTAAAATACAAAATCAGCTCGCTCATAATGGAAAAGGGAATGCTCCACCCTCGAGGACAGCTAATAAATCTGAAAAGGAACCCACCTCTTCCCCTACCTGCAAAGCCACTCTGTCTTAGGACCAGTTGGAAGTTTTAAACACCTTTAACTTGATCTTAGTCACTTTAAACTTGGCCATAGTGCTATGTCAGAGGCCCACCCTGGAGGCGCATCCAAAAACAAAGAACCCACCTCTTCCCCTGCCAGTGAAGCCGCTCTGCCTGGGCACCAGTTGGAAGTTCATGTCCAGCTGCCTGGCCTGGCGAGCCTGAGCCTTGCTGAGCTTCTTCAGGTGCACGGCGGCCTGGTGAGCCTTCAGGTCGATGTTTGTGGGGAACACCGACGTGAACTTCTCCTCCCGACACTCGTCCTCCTCACACAGGAAGTGGGCGTCACGGAAGTGGTTACGCAGCACGTCATAGTCACTGGAGAAAAGAAAAACAACATTTGAATTCCCAGTGCTGACTGAAAAGTTATTATATTATATACAGTAAATCTCCAAACTTGTGGATTTGTTTCTGAAGGTTTCGCAGTGACTTCTTCACCGCAAGTTTAATTGACATTGTGAACATGATCACGAGTTTGTAATCAATAACAACTGTACAATAATAGTTTCAATTGCAAACTTAAAACACCACAAACATTTTCTTTTCCCTCCTGCCATGAAATAAAATGATAAAATTTCAGCTTTAGAAGTTTAAGAAACAAGTTGAAACAAGTCACCACATATACCATTAAGAAATAGGAAGAAAGGGAAAAAGTTTCAGTATCAGTGTCTACTTGCAAGGAATAGTGAATTTTATGAAGTTGAGAAAACCTACCTGTAATACTGGTTACTCCCGCCCGCGTCACACACGTGGCAGTAGTAGTGGTCTGTACGCAGGTGTCTGAGCAGACTGTCGTTGTCCACGTACCGCTCGTCGCAGAACTCACACAGAGGGTGTCCACGGTACGACTTCTCGTCCTTATCACCGATACGCCGGTGCTCAGCCAGCTCCTTCCTGCTGTAGGTCTTACGCTCAAACGAGAAGATCTGGAATAAGAAATCAGAGATTTCAGACTTCCAGGTACCATTTTGGGTTTGTGTGAATGTATGACAACTGTATAAAGTGTATTGTATAACCATGAGGATGTACCTGATTCAATTACATTGCACATTATAGAATGGACTATTATTCATTCATATTCAAACATACTTGTTAACTTCTTTTTCCTGCAATTGTCCTATAATTCTTTCATTAGTTAGCCAAACATGTAAGTTGCTCACATTTTTGTACAATCTTATAAATTTCCAGCAAATTTCAGGTAATTGTTTTGAGCCCTGAAATGTAGCTTGTGGGTACTAGTATACACATAAACTTTTGCCTATTATCTACGTCTCTCTTTTGGTATGTTTAGCTATTGCATCTTCAAGTTAGTACTTGGCCTTTGAAATCTCTTCTTGTACTATTTTTGTGCTACTTTTTTACCTGGAGGTGTTCGCTGCAGAGATCACAGTAGAAGAGTTCATGTTGTTTCCGCATGTGTTTGTTGAGCTGAGCGAAGGTTCGGAAGGTTGGCTTCTCAGGACACTCTTTACACGTGTGCTCCAGGAGTTCTCTACAGAACAACACAACACAAGGGGAATGGATTCAGAATCTAAGATTAACAACCCCCAACATACCCAACATTTCCTGCATATTGAGGCAACTTTTGTTATACAGTACAAAAGTATTGTTTCAAGATATATGAAGGATCACAAAGTTCAGTTGTTGTTGGTGGTTAAATTTAAACATACTACATTACTAGTAATTATTTTTGGACTTTTCTGAATTCACCTTAACATATCGCACACGAACACACTACCAATCATACTATTACCCCTTAACATATGGTACCAAAGTTAGCCTCAATATACTTAAAATGATTTTGTTCTTAATAAGGTATAACCTGGAGGTATACTAATTTGTGCCTTATGATTATTAATCAAAAAGAACTGAAGGATGACAAACTTTTTCACAGACAACATTAGAATTTACATAACGATTATAAAAGAACAGGGGATTGTGGGTGTTTCTGAGAAGTGGGAGGGGGGCAACTTTTCTATCCCGGATGGAAGCCTTTCCTCCTACTACGCACCAAGACATACAGAGATTGTTTACTCACCTGTATCGCTTCTGTGTGACATTTTCGGCGAAGTAAATCCCGTGTTTCCTCTCCAAACGCAAGTGTTCCGTTGAAATAGAGGCAAACGCCTGTCTTCTAGTAGTGAACACCACCTGAAAAAAAAGTTCAAACGTTACGAAATTCAATTACATTCGTTTATCAATTAAAAAAGTAAGAATTTTGTTATTTGGGAGGGATATAGGCGTTGTTTTAGATGGGATTTACCTTGTCTAGATCTTTCCTGCAGACAGCGCAGTAGTTTTGCTGACAGAGCACTCTCATCCGGGTGGAACACTTCCAACACACGGGATGGTCGCACTCGCCCACCGCCAGAATCTCCGTCTCCCCGCAGCACAGCACGCAGGCCCGCTCGCTCTCCTTCCGCGGCCGCTCTCCCGCCTTCTTCCCGCTCTCACGGTCACCTTCCATCCTCTACTCACGTCTTTGTGTCGCTTAAGACCCGCTGGGAATCGTTATTAAGGCTGTAAAAGTTACGTAAGACGCAGAAACACGGTTGGAAAAAATTTTCTCGGCCGATGAGTCACATGAACTTTGCCCTCTGAAGCCTACACGCATGCGCGGAACGGTTTTACGGCACTGTCGTAAAATTTGAGTTTCCGCCACAAGGCGCATGCGCGACAGCCCGGAAGTGGTAACTGTGATTGTAGGAGTTTGTGGAATGTCTCAAGAGTTTTACGCTGTGAGATCTTAAAGATGTAGGGAGGAAGACATGGCAGAGTCTTAAGAAGTCAGTGAGGAAGGAAAGAGAAGAAGGTAAAGCTTATGTTTTTTGAGTTGAAGCCGTTACGTTGGCATGTTTATGTGGCATTTGGCACTGTTTTGTAGTTATGTCAACATGACATGTCAAACTCATTATGAACTAAACGTTAACCGATTAACAAATTAACAAAAACTTGCTAAGTTGGTAGCAGAGGTTATCAAATTTGCATAAAAGTCATTGTCCTTGCCTTTCATTTCATTTCATATGCAAAATGTGATCTGTTTGTATAAAAATAAAAAACAGTTGAGTGAATATTTTATTGTGTGTGACAACTTTCACTTTTATCTTGGGGTGATCAGTAATTTATCTTAACTGTATTATATAGTAGTCATTGTCTATTATTTCAACTCATGACATTACTCAACAAAATGTGTACTGTTAGTGTTACTGTTGCAACGAATACAAGTTTCATAACTTATATTTAATTGAATAATGAATTAAAATCTCATTTTCATATTTTGTAGGTGAGATGGCAGATCCACCAATACAAACATTCCAAATAAACTGATATTTCACAAACTATTGACAACAAGTAACGTAACGTACCACTGAGCAGAATGTGGACATTGTCTTGAAACGGCGTTAGTTCCTGGTACATACGTACAAATCACCATACAAACTATCGAAAGCACGTACGTACAGCAGAGCAGAATGTGGACGTTGTGTTGTCATTGGTAGAGAAACCGCGTAAGTTCCCGGTACGTACGTAAGGAACCACCATGGGCACCAGCAGTTCTCTCCTGCGTAGCCGCGAGTCGTTGGAAGAGCTGACGGATGGCGTGTACCTCGACGGGAACCTGGACATCCCGAACGAGGTAGGACTGGTTTATTACAGTGTACAAAATACTTTTTTAAACCAGGTTGCCCAGTGGGCAACCTACGGCAAAAATTAGGTTGCCCATCAGAATTTTAGGTTGCCCACCTATGCTCACTCCACCTATATTAGTTAAAACTTTCCTCAACATACATAAGCCTTTGACAATATTTCTAACAGCCTTAACTGGCTTAAGTAACTTAACTGATACTACATTGTAGTACCTAAAATTATAAAGCATCTGCCGGCTACAGTGGTGCAAGCCAAGTGGGCATGATTTCGTGGGGTGGGGGGCATTCTTAAAATGCAGTCCACCTCTGACAGTCCTCCGCTAGACTTGTTAGCTGGCTTAAGAGTTGTCCTGTCCACTCTTTCAAGTCGCTGGTCCAAGTCCACATACATTAATTTAAAATATTACACGTTACTAGGTGAAGCCTCGCCACGCGCTGCTGCGGTCCGTGGGGTCGTTCGGCCGGCGGATGAAGGGCGCCAGCTTCCGGTCCAACGCGTCGGTGGATCTGGTGGAGAACCCGGAGGCAGAGCGCATCAGGAAGGAGTACGAGATGTTCCGCCTCAGCAAGCAGAACGAGTTCCAGGACATGCAGAAGAAGATGGAGAAACTGGAGAACGAGAACAAGCGGTTGCGAGGAGAACTACAGGTCAGTTTTGTTGGTTTGTTTGCTTGTTTGTTTGTTTGGAAGGTTGCCAGTGTTGGTGAATGTTATTACTCTTAATCAAAGACAAGATCTCATATACTATAAACTAGTAAACTAAGGCACAAAGCATAACAAATTTTCAATTATGTAGTACAATGTAGTAAAGTATTACCAGCAATGTATACCAGTAATCATACTGATACTGTACATGTATGACACTACAAGCCTTACTCCTTAGGAAGGAGTGCCCTTAGTGTGATGGGGTCTTTATAACCAGTGCTCAAGATGTTCATTTCTTCATACTAATCATGGATGGGATCTCTGCATGAAATTGTGACATTCTGGATATGATTTGATAATTTATTACACAATATTGTAAACAAATCACCTTTACCCTCAATCATTAGTCAATGGCCTCATGTCACAAATAAAATAAAACCACTGTGAAAACCACAGTAACCAGGTCCAACCTATAAAACTCCCGTTGAACTCCCTATTTTACTCCCGTTGAACTCCACTACGTACATTGTATATACAGGCGCTGCAGAAGACGGTGTCCAAGTTGCGGAATGAGCGAGACGCTGCCCTGAACAGGGAGTACCAGGCGCTGGAGAGGGCCGCCACGTTTGAAAACGACCGAGATAAAGTACAGAGACAGTTCAAGGTATTGTCATCGTAATGTTAATATGATGGAGGACATTGTAAAAATGTAATATGATTATGAGACCCCAGTGGAACTGTGGAGTGAGACTATGCATAAGTACTAGTGTTTATTTCACGGGAATGAGGTAATGTTTTCAGTTTATCTCTGTGAGTGTGACCATGTGTGTATGTGCTTGTACATGTATATGTGTGTGTGTGTGTGTTCATGTGTGTAACATGTATGTGTGTACATGTATGTGTGTGTCTGTACATGTGTGTGTGTGTGTGATTGATAGATAGAATTCAAAGATATATGTACTTAGCTATTAGAAGATAACACCCTCCTCCTGACTGGTCTCTCCCTTCATCTACATGTAACTCCGTAGATTTTCCGTGAGACCAAAGAGAGTGAGCTGCAGGACCTGTTGCAGGCCAAACGTGACCTTGAGAACAGGGTAGTGAAGGTCGCTGCAGATGACGGCACACATGTCATATCTGATAACATGTCAGATAACCTGTCGTACAGTGGCACAGTGGACGGAGGCTTACTGGGTAAGGCATTATTTGTTTATATCTGCTTAACCAGTAAACTGCCTCAAGACTTGGAAAATATTGCTAAAAATTTTTGGCCACACCTCTGGGGTGGAGCCATTTCTTAAAGCATAATAATAGCGCATTTTTGAGCTAAATTTACCATCCTACCATACAAAATACTATATATAATGTAAGGCAGCATTTTTTTTCTTGGGACAAGCTCGGAAACACTTTTATTCGCTCTAAAACGTGTCTCTGACATGTTAGGAACGCAAAGGGTTATTTTGGTACTATCAGCCAGAATAGTGCATTTCAGGGCTTAAACCATGCTTTTTTTTAATGAAATTTTATTGTGCCTTTTACCAGGTAACCCCGGTGACTGGGGCACAGCTCTGGGAAGTGAGCCGTCCTTGGGCAGCACTGTCCAGATGCACCTGGCGGTCAAAGGGCCGGAACTGGCCACTAGTCTCATCGACCTGGACGGACCATTCACCAACATCAACAAAGGTAAGAAATGTTTTAAGATCAATAAATAAATATTTGTTCTTAATTTAAGTTTCAAAATTTAAGTCAGACACATTTTTACCAGTCAGTGATAGCACTAAACAATATTCAAATTTTGTCTCTTCAAACAAAAAGAAGTCTGTAACCATACAGAAGCAACAATTTTACCTGCCAATAATTTGGTCTCTCTTCTACCATCTTCAAGACTGTAATGCTACTTCTTTCCACTAGGTGGTGCTGCATGCCATCTCAAACACGGCTGAGGTCTTTGTGTATGTCACACGGGAGATTTTAATCCAGGACAATCTGGAATTGTCACAGGGGAGATCGGAATTCTAGTGTCTCCTTGGACAATTCCAAATTGCCCTGGATTCCTATCTCCCCTGTGACATATACACCACTTGTGACATTTTTATTCTAACATATCAATAAGTAATAAGTAACTCATTTGTTCTGCTATGTTACAGATGACTGGACGGCAGCAGTGTCCAGTCTGTCACAGATCACCCCCCTCCTGGCTCAGACCCTCCCCAGCTGCGTCTTTAAGATTTTCATCTCAGCTCCTCCAGACATGTGTGAGGAGGTCCAGATTCTGTACAAGGTGACTGAGTACTGTTTTCGTACCCTGTTTGTTTGTTTGCTTGGTAGTTTGTGTGTTTGCATTACATAACTGGTAAGCACATGCTTCAAGGAATAGTACACAAGTTTAGTATAATTATGTACTACAAGTACAAGATGTATCAGTAACTGTGATTTTGATCTACATTGTATAAATGCATTTGCTTTCATGGTGGTTTTGTTTCATGTAAGGAGAGAAAAGAAGGGTTTTGCAGCAGCTTCGATTTGACACAAATGTTTTCTCGGATAGAATATAAAACATAAAATAATATACGTTTTTTTTAAACTCTCATCATAGCTCCCTTTTTTTCCAACAGAATCACCTACCTTCTCTGCAATACAAATGTGCGTGTGATGGCAGAGTCTTAGTGACGGTGCATTTTACAGAAGAGCCATGGCATGAAGAGAACCCACAGGTATGACCCCCCTTAGTCAGTAATGTGTCATCCATGTGACATCATGTAGAAATGCACAGATGTGTCTGAAATCTCTGATTTTCTACTGTGTTTTTCAACTACAGACACTATGGAGACTCCAAAATGCCAGAAAAAAGCAGCTTCAGGGCTGCAGCCTGTTTCTAGGTTTACTAGCGGGACAAGTAGACAGGTAAGTCAGGTCACACACAATACATTAGCAGAACCCAAAATTTTTACATTTGCACATGATGGCTATTGTTAGTTGCATATTCAATCATCAAAATGTTGCAAGTTTTTTTTATCTCAATTTTTCTAAAGGTATGTTAGAGAACTTTGTTAGGTGGCTGGTCATCTAAGAAGTTACGAGCTGATACAAGAAGCTTAAGACAGTTATGTTGTTTTCCTCAGATATACAGTTGAAGACTTTGAAACAAGCCACCTGTCCAACCCTGGGTCTCGACCTGCTCTGTTCTGCTTCAGGGACACACCAGGAACAGGGTAGGTGCAGTTTTACTGTGAACCTCATTCTTAAAGTTTGTAGCACCCAAGGTGACAGTCTGTTGTACAGTACAAATGATAGTCTTTAAGAAAGCCTTGTTCCACTCAATGCCGAATAGCTTTGAAGAGGTTCATCAGTAACATAAGATTAACAGTTAGTAGAACATTCAACAATAAGTGACTGTTGAAAGGTAAAAATCTGTACCTCCAACATTTTGATGTCGACTGTACATCTTGACTAGGTCACTCCGTGATCAAGATGTAATTTGAAATTTCCAATCCCTAACTTACTTCTCTATTCAAAGTGGCAAACCTGGCTCCCCTGCAGAAGAGGCAGTTAAGTTGAAGAAGAGAGTGAGAGACAGTGTGCCATGTAAGGTAAGGTTGCTAGAGAGAGACAGTGTGCCATGTAAGGTAAGGTTGCTAGTGAGAGACAGTGTGCCATGTAAAGGCGCGGTCACATTTCCCAACCCGGGTCCCGGCCGGGCAGTCGTTTGGAACGAAAATTATGATATAAGACAGCAAAACACAAAAAAAGCTTTAGAAAATTAACCACGAGCACTATTTGTGTATACTCTGAATACAAATTGTTTATTTTTCGTTCACTCAAACAACCCGGCCGGGCCCCGGCTTGGAAATGTGACCGTGCCCTAAGGTAAGGTTGCTAGTGAGAGACAGTGTGCCATGTAAGGTAAGGTTGCCTCCAACACTTGCTTATTAATTTAGAAGGCACACTGTAAGCCAGGCCACCCATGTGTTGAAAGGTATTGCCCACATGCTGGCCATGGCAGGACATTTCAGAAGCCGTAAGCTGGGCCGCTGTAAACTTTAAAATGGTCACTTTGTATGCAAAAAGGTGATAACTTGCTCACCGGGCAACTCGGCGTCTTTAGTAAGTCTTGTACAGAAACCATGACTAGCATGCCAAGATTGCGAGACTATGGGCCAATTTACAAGAGGCAAAAAAAATGCACCACATGCCATTTTTTAAGAGTGTAAACAAGCCTGCTGCCACTGTGCGGCAATTTTTGTGTAGCACATCCTGGATGCAGGACAAATGATTTTTGCTCGCGGAAACTGGGTATTTCTAACCCTGTAGTGACATTCATCGATCAACATTAGCCTAAGATTGTGACAGTTATGCAGACTTTTTCACTACTTTTTGAATTGTTCTTTCCTCAGATCATAGATGACTACACTGAACCACATGTAGGTGCCAAGAATCTGTTTGATGAGATTGCCAAAATTGTCCAAATGGTAAGTAGCAAGACGTTACATGTATGTATATGTGTGAATATCTTCTGATATGGGATGGAAGTACTGTTTTGGGTGAGAGTTTGTATGTGTTGTGTCAGGAGGGTGGGAGATGGTTTTGACAGTTGATGATTGATAATTAGGTCAATAGGCTAATAATGACCCAGGCCAGCACATGTCTTGTATATGTCAGTGGATAATATGTGCAAGAACTCAGGAAATGTTGTAATACCCAATTAGATTACATCATTAAACAATCCCCTCCATGTTTCAATACAATGCCCAAAGCAGGATGTTAGATTAATCTAGAAAACTCTCTCTCAGAAGCCACCAAAAAGCTCTGTCCCTGTGGTGATTTACAATTACATTACGTTAACTTTGCATGTACCTGTACCTGTACAGGAGCTGGGTGTTGGAGAGACAGAGGAGGGAGAGAATGGTGATGAGAAGGAAGATGAGGCCAGTTGCTTCACCTGGCTGGACCCTGACGGCAACTATGAACAGATGGAGCTCTTCAACAGTCTTACCTCTACCTGTGCAGACATCGGCTTCAAAAAGGTATGGAGAACAACTTGAAGATATTAGGTGTTTTTACTTGCATTTGTGTGATGGTATGCATGTACATTGTATGTATGTGTGTGTACATGTATGTGTATGAGTGTGCATGCCTGTGGTTTAGCTGAAGAAGCTGTGGATGGATTGTCATGAAACTTGAATGTTCTCCATATTTTTACATGAAACACATTTATTATTATATTTCTGTGAATGGAAATATTGTTTTGGGTGGCTGACTTGTGAGTTTTTATGTTTCCTTGCTACTTGCTACAGTTGCTTGGAGGGCGAGAGATGATTTTGACAGTTGACTGACAGGGAGGGATGATTGTTAATAAACAGATGCATGGTAGGAAGGTGTTATTTAAAAGTTATCTTGTGACTATTGTCCCTGTACAGTACTACAAACAGTTGGATGAGTTAGTGTCTGCACCAGGTCCGATGCCTCCACTGCTTCTGATGGGCACAATCGGTGCAGGCAAGTCAAGCCTCCTGGCACAGTGGTAAGTGGGAACATTGTACATGTACTATTATACAGTTTATTATTCAATCAACAAAATCATACAAAAGCAGGGAATGCTGCATGCATCCCTGAATTGCGTAACTGATTTTTACAATAAGTTAAAAAAGCAAGACAGGACAGGTACACAGAAAAACACACTATATACAAATATGTACAAACACCATTCACTCTGCTATATGCATGCAAATAGCAGGCATAGGTTTTCAGATACATGTATCAGCCATTGTCACTGGATCTAATGGCTATTGTGGTAGCCATTAGATCCTCAGTAAACATAGCAGCCCATTTGTCCATCAGTATGCTCTAAAAGATTGTCACACATCTTGAAAGACAACTTCTCATGACTTGTAAGTTGTAGATAGAATATCAAAATATTATGTACATGTATAAATTATGGCTGTTGTAAAAATGTCACTTAAGATCTTCAGTAAACATAACAGTGCATTTGCCCATCAGTGTGCTCCTCTCAGTCTGAGTCTTCAAGACTGTCACACATTTTGAACAATCTTTTAAGATAGAATATCAAAATACTTGGACATGTATAATTATGTATATGAAAAACAAAACTTTGCCTTGCGAATGTACCAGTCCTGTTACAATTGCTGTGCAGTAAACTTTGAGTAACAAATTTGAATTCTTTCTCTGCAGGATAAAGCAGCTGCAGCAGCGCAGCCCGCCCTGCCTGGTGTTGTACCACTTTGTTGGGTACCAATCCTCCTCCAGCGCTGATGCTGTACACATGATCAGGTCCTTCACAGCTCAGGTCAGTCCATCTGCATGTTTAGGCCACATTTTATTGTCTTTTAGCTTTTTTAGTTCTTAAATTTGCTGACTTCATTGTTTTAAGTTTTGCCAAAAATAAGAGAGTGCAGAAAGTTCAGGAAAGACTTGAAGTGTCTTCCTAGTTTTTAGAAGTGTCTTTAGAGTTTTTCCCATGCATATACTTAGCACGGCTATGACAGTTGTTGTTGTTCAGTAGATGCAGCACGTGGTGTACATACACAAAGCCATGACAGTTGTTGTCTGCATTTATTTATTATTATTGTTGTTGTTGTTGTTGTTTAGCTGATGCAGCACGTGATGACCCCCCCCCCACACCTGCCCAGTGACCCCAGCCTGTTACTGCCATGACAGTTGTTTATGTTGTTGTTGTTTATGTTGTTGTTTACACTGTTGTTGTTGTTGTTTAGCTGATGCAGCACGTGATAACCCCTCCCCACCTGCCCAGTGACCCCAGCCTGTTACTGCCGTGACAGTTGTTTACATTGTTGTTGTTTACATTGTTGTTTACATTGTTGTTGTTGTTGTTGTTTAGCTGATCGCAGCAGCTGTGATGACCCCGCCACACCTGCCCAGTGACCCCAGCCTGTTACTGCCATGACAGCTGTTGTTTACATTGTTATTTATGTTGTTGTTTACATTGTTGTTGTTGTTGTTTAGCTGATGCAGCATGTGATGACCCCGCCCCACCTGCCCAGTGACCCCAGCCTGTTACTGGACGAGTTTCTCCGCTGGCTGGAGAAGGTGTCGTCCAAACAGCCTGGCGGCCTGGTGCTGGTCATCGACTCCATGGACAAGTTCCAGGTTTAGTCTCATGTCATTCAAGCAGTGAATGAAAGAAACTTTTATGTCATACATTGTAGAGTCATTAGGCCACACCAAATGGCCCTCTTTGGCACCGCCTCATGATCAAATATTTCAAGCAGTTCTTGAAACAAACTTTTACAGTAACTGTAATTCACAATTTTTTACAGTACTTTTGTGTTCTCAGTTTTCGCAATTACTTCTGTGCTGTAAACTTATCATTACTGTGAACAAATAATTCACTGACTTTCTTTTTTTTGCACCTACCACCACCATAAACATATACCGGTAGTGATTCAGATCAGGCAGTGGTGCAGTACACAATTAAAGTACATCATACAATCTCTTCTACAGGTTCAATACATTCACGAAAACCAAAAAAAACCTAACCTAGACGTGTGGAATCTCTGATTTCTTGTTCGTGATTTTTTTTTTAATGCCTGACACCCAAGTTTTGTCTGTTCACAGCATGCAGAGTCCCACACCAAGTTCCTTTTAGACCCCTTACCTGTGGACACAAGAGTCGTGGTGTCAGTCACTGAGCAAACCTGCCCTCAGGCATGGAGGTATGCAGTGTTGTCTGTATTCTGATTTAAAAAATACATCTGTAGTGAGTGAGAACATGGATAAATGTATGCATGAATGAATCAATGATTCAGAAAAAGATTGGATGGATGGATGGATGGATGGATGGATGGATGGATGGATGGATGGATGGATGGATGGATGGATGGATGGATGGATGGATGGAAAGATGCATCAATGGAATGGCTTATAGTGACTGAATGGAGTGAATGGTAAATTTATCAAATTTAATATCATTTTCTTCTTGTTGAATTTTTGTTGGCTAGATGATGAATAACAAGTTCTGCATGGTGTTAACTTTCAGATCATGGCCGACCGTAGTTTTGGAGCCTCTGAACCCAGGAGACATCAAACAGGTGATCCAGACCCGCTGGACAACTCCAGATTTCTCACTTACTGGATCACAGGTATGCACTGAGGATTAGCTGCAGGGTTGTAATGGGTTGTGAAGTACAGATGGTTAAAATTCTCAATATGGTATGAGATCTTCAATTCCTTGTTGTGTTCTGTTTCAGGAGGCCAGATTTCTGGCTCACTGCCATATCCCAGCATGCTGTAGTCCCCTGTATGTCAACACATTCCTCAACCAGCTCATGAGGTAAGATTGTGTTTTCTATAGACTAGACATTCTTGCCTCTTAAATATGTTATTAGTATCTTTGTGTTCACTTTTGATTAGCCTTTGGGCATAAATTCGCTTGTAAAAAGATTGCAGACTACATGACGTATAATTACTATAAACTTTGGTTGACAAGTCTTTCACATTTACTCCCTATCATGTACATTGACACTGTGTCTGTGTTGTTTGCAGTTGTAAGGATGAAGACACGATGTCAGAAGTGCTTGAGGAGTGTTTGAAGACGCCCAGCGTGTCGGAGCTCTACCTTCACATCCTGCAGACACTCGAGGACGAGTGTCCTGGTCACCACCACAAGTCCCTCTTCGGAAAGGTACATGGGGCTCTTCTTTTCCTCCAAGATGAAAGATGCATATATTTTATATAATTATATACATCGACATCATGTGGCATCATAATTGTCAGAGCATTTGGTCTTTGGAAAGGTGGGCTCTTCTTTTCCTGCAAGAAGGAAGATGCATATATTTATGTTTAACGAAGGAAAACATATTGTTTTTCCTGTTTCCTCTTCTTCTTCTTTAAACCAATAAGGTCAATGACCTGAACAGATACAGTTGTTTAGTAGACAGTCCTTTTACAACATCTCAGGATCGGAGCCTGCTAATAAGCCACCATATGACATTGGTATTTATGTTTACCGAAGGAAAACATAATTATTGTTTTTCCTCTGTTTCCTCTTCTTCTTCTCTAAACCAATAAGGTCAATGACCTGAACCAGACATCTGTCACCATGGTAACTGTATATCAGTACTTTCAAATAGCAAAAATCTTGACACATTGTCACCAACTCTGTCTGTGTCCTCATCAGTGTTTGGACACATGTACAGTGTATAAACAGCTAGCCAAAAGGCCCATTTGCTACTGAAAGTACTGATAACTGTAATGATGGATAATTGTTGACTGGACAATGTAGGTGATGCTGGCATTATGAGCCTGTAGGAACAGCCTGTCTGAACCTGACCTGATGATTGTATGTTGACTGTAGGTGATGCTGGCATTACGCGCCTGTAGGAACGGCCTGTCTGAACCTGACCTGATGATTGTATGTTGACTGTAGGTGATGCTGGCATTACAAGCCTGTAGGAACGGCCTGTCTGAACCTGACCTGAGCTGATGATTGTATGTTGACTGTAGGTGATGCTGGCCCTATGAGCCTGTAGGAACGGCCTGTCTGAACCTGACCTGATGATTGTATGTTGCCTGTAGGTGATGCTGGCGTTACGAGCCTGTAGGAACGGCCTGTCCGAGCCTGAGTTGATGGCTGTTGTGCCTGAGCTGACCTGGTCGGTGTGGTCCCTTCTGTGGGACATGCTGAGTGAGGGAGGGGTGCTCTGCTGCAAGTCTGGGCTCATAACGTTTACAAACCAGGAGGTCAGAGTCACTGTTAATCGTTTACTAGTACTAATAGTACTCACTCACTCACTCACTATCCAGGATTTGATTATACTGCTACTGCTGTCCCTGCCACAGGGGTCGGCAGCAGTCGGCTAGTAGTACTGGTCTTCACACTCAGCTCCTCCAGGCAGCCCTGTCCAGTGGGTTAACACTGGCAAGGCTGCGCTCTCTAGTAGGGGCAGTACAGTACAGTAGGGGCATTATCATTAGATAGCTTTTAACTATGTTTAGAGTTAGACGTTCAAGGGTTAAGTGTAACAGGTCGTTCTGTGTAATGTAGCCAGATGCCGCTGCACCACATGCCTGCGAAGCTGGTGTGTTACGCCAAAGGGTCACAGGTTATACTGACTATACAGATACAGAAGCTGGTCTGTTACGCCAAAGGGTGGTTTTACTGGCTATACAGATACAGTTAGTAGACAGTTCTTTTACAACACCTTAGGATCGGAGCCTGCTAATAAGCCACCATATGACATCAGTTTGTGCTAATTGCTGATGTTGATGGATATCTGAATTTCATTCAGTCACAAATGTTTGTGTCTTTTGTTTCTCCTCCAGGCACAAGATGCTGTGGACAGAAAATTCCTGAGCAGCAGCAAGGACCTGAAACAGACTCGACAAAAACTGGTGGATTACTTTTCCACTTTCATCAGGTAATGGAAGAAGCGATTGTAGTCCTCTACGTGTAGATCGGAAGTTAGTTAGGTCATACCTTTGAGGTGATAACGTGCGCTACAGGTGTTGCGCCCCAAGTGATAACCCAACACAGGGTTCTAACGGTTATCACACAGGCTTCCCAAAGCTTGGAATAATTCAAACACATTGTGCTGTATGTGCCACTTGCAAAATTTCAAATACACGTTTCGAACATTGGAATTGATGTTGTTTTTGGTCAATATTGCAAATTGGAATTTTTTAGGCTGGGTGTATCCTGTATCACCTTTGGTCCCAGACCTACCATCTTTCAACCTGTGGTTGGGCTAGTACCTCGGGTGATACAGAATTCTATATATTATTTGTCCACCTGAAATGACTCAGGAACATCAGTACGTGTGTTAATGTGTGCTCTGTTCCCTGCAGACCTGTGCAGACCTGGTGGAGGGCTGTAGACGAGGCCCCGTGGCTGCTGCAGGTTTTAGGGGATGTACAACATCTCCACGCCATCGTGGTCAACCTGAGTGTCTTCCAGAACCTCTATATAAGGTTGGTATTGATATATATATATATTACAATGTAGTTACAATAGTTACTGTAATAACTGATTTTTCTACCCAAGTGAAACACAAGGGGTAGGGTGCTCCTGGGAATCGAACCCTGGTTGCCAGCTCACAAACCAAATGCACTAACCGCAAGGCTGAAAGGTTCAGACCTGTTAGAATGGTCAGTTAGTTGTGCTTGAACCCTACTGTTGCACAAGCATAAACACTGTTTGCCTTTGGCATCTTTGTGAAACATATTTGTGAAATGTTCCTTTTATTTAACTCTACCCAAAAACTGATTACCGGTATATTACTTCATAATTGTCATAAGATATCTTGAAGTTCTTGTATGTTTTGTCATTGAAGAAAAGATAATTTTTTTTTCTAAAATCCATTGAAGAACAATGAGGGTTCGGTAATGTTTGTATCTTTATCATACAATGTATCATTGATTGTTGGTTGTTACAGTACTGTTTACAGTGATCTTGAGTTTGCAGTACCTGTATTTCTCCTCTAGGGGGCGCTGTGCAGAGTTGCTGGCGTACTGGCAGTATGTGGGAGTGGAGAAAAGTGCCATGGCTACAGAGTACATGAACGCACTCAAGATGCTGGAAGATGGTGAGTCTCCGATGATGACCACCTTGCAAGAAATACAAATTTTTTGCCTATAGGTTCATGTATTAGAAAGAATGTTCAATAAAAAAACACCAAATCTAATTAATTTTTACATTGTTGTATGTCTATCAGACTGCATGTAACTATATAGTTAACACATTTAGCAAATATTAAAGGCATCTAATGCAGTTTTTAGGGTGGCAAAACAAAAAAAGTCTTCTGGTTGAGAAAATCTTTCTGATGTTGGCATTACACATTTTTAGTGTGTTTGTTGCACAGAGATTCTGATACAATTAAGGGCACGTTCAAGTCAGCTCTCCCAGCCACTTTCAGTCTAAAACCTACAATAATGTATATGCATGTCTGTACTAAACTACTGTACAACATTGACCATTCTTAACCACTGTCATGTCTGTTAATCCTAGGTATGAGTGACGTAACGTCCTCCAAACTAGCCAGCCTGTACGAGCTCCTCGGCAAATTCCTGAAAGACCTGAGCCTCCTGACTCAGGCGGTGCCTCCCCTCCAGAGAGCTCTGGAGCTGAGAGAAACCAGCCTGGACCCCGACCACCCCAGTGTGGCCAGCGCCCTGCACCACCTGGCCGGTTTGTACGCACACTGGGGGAAGTTCAACACTGCGGAGGCCTTGTACAAGCAGGCTATTGACATCTACCAGAACGCATTTGGCAGTAACCACCATCAGGTGGCCAGAGAGTTGGAGGCTCTTGCCTTGCTGTACCAGCGACAGAACAAGTAAGCAACACACTAAGTTACCCTTCTGGCTCCATGTATTGGCTGGAAGAGTAGGTTGCAAGAGATGGTTGAAAATCCAAGTTAATGTATTTCAAAATATAGTACATACTGCTCACTTATTAGAAATGAAGCCAATTCAATAAAGATCACTCACTGTTTATTGGTCATTTGTAAAAAATGAAAAAAAGGAGAAGAAGCAAGAGGTTTTCTGAACAGATATATTTTTTATGATCTGCACTTAATTGTTCCCAAGACCCAAGGATGTGAAGTTTTGGGCTTGTCTGCCTGTGTGTCTTTCTGTGTGTGCTGAGGAGTCACTGTTGAGGGGCTGAACTTTGCCATCTGTAGTGTAACTTCCTTGTTTCTGCCATTTTTCTTGCCTAGGTTTGATGTAGCTGAACCACTTCACAAGCGAGCTGTCACCATCAGGAAGAGATCTCCAGAAAACTCCCGGCTAAGATCTGTAAGCATTTTCCTCATTCTGCATTATTTCATATTCATTGTTTATCTAGTCCTGTACTTCAGATCAAACTAAGGCCAATGTGTAAACACATCCCACATTGAACCTGAGGCTTGCCTCTATTCTGTGGGTTCACACTGTGTAGCTTTAACACTGACTGTAACTTTAATATCAACTTTAATATCAACACTATCATGCACATCTCAGCAACATTTGTATAAAAAAACTAACAGCATGTTGTATGTACTGTAAGGCTGGACTGGAGTTTCTGAGGAAAAGAGCAGTTCACCTGGAGGAGCTGTCCTTGGGTCCTGACTCCCCGGCCTTGGCTCGGTCTCTCAATGAGCTAGGAGTGCTGTTCTACCTACAGGGTTACTTGGGGTAAGTTCTGAACCATAGTGATATACATGTAAAGCCTAGGGAAAAACGTTGTGTTTCCGGTTTCAGTCCTGAAAATAGGGTTAGTAGGTAGGGATACTGTTTTTGTTTTTAATTTAGGCTGAGGTTATCTTGTTATCTAACAAACACAGTCTAACAAGTTAGCTCCTGACAAAAAGTAGTGGATTCTGCTTGAAAGGTCTGACAGTAGATGCTTTAATATGGAAGGTTAGCACAGGTACAACGTGAATGTGCTCAGTCTGGGGTCCGGGCAGAAAAACTCGGAGTTCAAAGAGATGGAGGTAGAGTCTTGAGTTTTCTTAGTATCCTTAGCCACTTACTATTAATATGTGGACTAGTCTAGTACATAGGGTTGGAGGGGTGTCGTCTAGCTTTGCTTAATATCACGACAGGAAAGAGGCCTAACCTTGTGGCAATCTTGTGTAATATCTTCCTATCATCGCTAATTTTCCTGTACAGAACGGCTGAGAAGTTGTTGCAGCACTCCCTCTCCATGCGGGAGTCCGTTCTGGATGCCTCCCACCCCGACTGTGCACAGTCCCTGCACAACCTGGCCTCTCTGTACGTCGAGAAGAAAGAGTACGCCAAAGCGGAGCCGCTGTACGAGAGAGCGCTGGAGTTACGCCAACAGGCCTTCCCGGCAGACCACCCTGCGGTGGCATCGACTGTCCGCCATCTTGCTGCAGTCTACAAGAAACAGGTAGGGGTCCTTCCTGCAACATTGTGAAATTGATTAGAAACTGTATGTTTTTATGTATTACTATGTTGCTTTAGGCATTTTATTCTTATTAATTATTCTGTACATTTTTGTAATTACATTGTTATATAGCCAGACAACATTGACCAATTAGAATCCTCAATTTTGAATTTATTTTGAGGCCGCAACACAATTTCATTGGTCAGCTAACAAGTGGTCCATTTTTAGAGCAAGAGACCACTTCAGATCACAAGTGGTCCATTATTAGAATAATGGGCCATCTGTTTAGACCATTACTTTGGGAAGGTTTGGATATTCCTTTTTACAAATTGTGTTGCTCGCTTCACTCACTCGGTGGTTTAGTCAGTGGTTAATAGAGATTCACTGACCAGGCCTTATGACAGAATACACACATTAGGGCAGGTCATTAATCCTTTACAGAAAACTACATGACTTTTGTATACAATATGGGGTGAAAATTAAGACTTACCCCAAGGTTGTTATTTTGTATCTTTCAGAACAACTTTGATAAAGCTGAGCCTCTGTACAGACAAGCCCTGGCTATGAGAGAGAAAGTGTTTGGAGACAGCCATCCTAGTGTTGCCACTGCCCTGGTCAACTTGGCAGTGTTACAGTCTAATCAGGTAAGCTTTGGACATGCGCCCCAACATTGTGCCCTTGGGAACTGCACTTAATACGACTTTCCTCACTCCACCCAGGTGTGAATTGGGACCTAACTTCGGTTGGGGAAAGTCGTATTGAGGTCACCTGGTGGCGCCGAATGGCAGCTGCACAGACCCATGTGACAGTTTCAAAAAAAAGAGTGTGGAGCAAAAATGTTACATGTATCTTGTGTATTATGTGTCTGATTGTAAAAACTGCATCAATTCAGTGCTATATAACTCTGCGATTGCACGGATAACATTTGACCAATAAACCATTCATTACTATTATTATTATTACTGTGTCATCTCTCCAGGGAAGACATTCCGATGCGTTACCGCTGTATGAGAAAGCACTGCAGATCTACGAGGATTTTTCCACCATTTCAAAGCCTTTCACTTGCCTATTTTCTCTCAAAACCATATCTTCTATCACTAAAACTTCACTCTCGTTTTATCTCTCCAGGGAAGACATTCTGACGCGTTACCGCTGTACGAGAAAGCGTTGCAGATCTACGAGGACAACTTCGGCCCGAACAACCCACGTGTTGCAGAAACCCTGCGGAACCTGGCCGTGCTGCACTACGACCTGAAGAACTACGAAACCGCCGCCAACCTGTACAAGCGGGCCACGGAGATTCGAGACCCCGACCACCCCTTCCAGCCCTCACGAGAGATGCTGTCCAGACGCTCGTCCAGCGTCGTCTCGGAAAACTTTCTGCACAACGGTCTGAACGTCCAGCTAGCCAGACTGCTGCCAGAACAGAGATAGCAGTTATTGCTGTAGATCTGTGAAAATACATTGCAAGAGGCTGCTTGAAGTCATCAGACATTAACTATACTAGAGCATTCCACATTTACCAGTCTAGACTAGAGTATATCAGGCTATGCATTAGTAGGCCATGCAATACAGTAACAATACGTTTCTTGTAGACTGCAGCACTCAGATGTGAAAAAGTATATTTTCTAAAATGTTGTTTAGAGGTAGAAGTAGACTTAATCCGTAACTTGGACAAGAAGTGGGACCATGGTACCATCTTGGTAGTGAATGTCAAAACCCTCAAGTGAGCACAACTTCCTCCATTTAGAAAGTAACAAACCGGCCATGTATAATTAGGACCTCAGCTGCCACCTGCCAAAGCAAGACTGAGCAGCTGCAAAAATGCATGTACATGTACTACATGTAGGTACTGACGTCTTTAGCATAGCACTGAGCTGTGTGTAAGTGTCCCCCATCACCAAACTTGTTGTACTACAGTGGACTTAGTGTACGAGGTACATCCAATTCATCATTTGAGCATTTTGTAATAATGTATGTCTGCGCCACATTTGAACGCACTGAACTCCTATCTAACTTGATTGAAATAGGTATGATATGGTTGTCAATCATCAAACTCATAATCTCCTTAGCACAATATGAATAAGCAACTGTTACTGTAAACTATATTTTGTGACTTCACTCCTACAATGTAGCTTCACACTGCCACATGCTTTGTTGTTCTTTTCCACTAGTAACAATTTCCTTGCGTATCTCATTAATTGGATGTCTAACCTTCATCAACATACTTTAGGCTTATAGACATAGAACCCAATGCAGCAATTGCACATGTGCACTTAAAACTGGAAGTCAGTAAGCAGAGATCTGATTTCATGAATAGTACTGGTACAAGAAGGCATCTATACATGTATGTAATGCCATGCAGTTACAAATGCAGAGTACTGTGGAATAATGGAGTTAAACCCAAGTCCTCACCACTTGAGCTGGCAGCAGCGAGATAAGACAATCCCTATGCTGTACAGATAGAAAAGTATGAAGCGTGCCTAAATCTTAGAAACGTTAACTGTGCAATAGTTTGTATATAACCCTACCAAATCGTAGATAGATGTAGATTTTGTAAATAAGTATAGACATACAGTTATATATTTTCATTATCATCATTGACTGTAGAAATGTACTGTAGATACTGTAGATTCATGACGGCCTGCAAGCCACTTTTCAATGGTCATGAAAGAGGATAAAAAAAACATCAAATGTGATTGATTACTAGCTACCTGGTTGATGTCCTAGTAACTGGTAAACACATACATGTACTATTAGAAGATACGTGTACATTAGATATACAAGATAGCCAAATAAACCTGTGCTTTTGTCATGTCAATTAAGTCTCATTTCTATTAATTTAAGCAGTACCCTGGCTTTGATTGCTACATTTTGTACATTACGGTCAGTAAGAAGCAAAGGGAAGCATTGGGAAGAAGTATTGAATCAGATGAATAACTTTTAATAGCAGTTTCTACAGATCGATTGTTGAACTGGCTTCACTGTAGCCTAGTTATTTTGTGAAGAGGACGAAAGAGACGAGGCGGCTAAAATAGCTTTGGGCACATTTACATGTAGAGTGATCCCATATTGTAGACTATGTAGTTAGAGAATATGCTGTGTAGTGTTAGCCAGCCACGCAAACCAATTGACCGCCGTCTGTGAAAAATATTTTCTTAAGCTTTGCAGGTGTGACAATGACAGCAAACTGCAGACAAGCTTATGTTTCTGCTTAACAAAGAGTCGGCTGCAAACACAAACATCTCTTTGCATTTGCGTTGGTACTGTTGCAACACGACGTAACTTCACGCCACCACGCCTGCCATTAGTCTTTTTGTTCGACCGTGAAACTCGAACTACCCTGTATTCATCTTGAATGTTTTGGCGTGCCCAGTGCGGCTTGGGACTTTCCTAAGTTCCTTTTTTATCCTGGCTAGCTCGTCGTCCTCAGTACATGTACTTGTGAAGCAAGCACCGTTTTGAACGTGGAGAACTAAATGTTTTGTCGTCACTCTACGACTAATTCTTCATTGCGTGGCAGCAATAACCTTCGTTACGTGGGTCTGGTGCTGTTGGCTTTCCTCCCACCATGGGAGGGGGTGGGGGTACTTAAACTGTGAAGAAGTCTAGCCAGTGTCCAATCGACGCAGCTATACGGCGTGTCTCAACCTCAACTGTGAGCAACCTCGACGTGCTAAGTGATGGCTGAGGGACAGGGAGACGACCATACAGGTAGGGCTGTGAACGGGGTAGGACAGCTCTTAGGTGATACCTTTACATTTGTACAGTCGTTCCAACAAATTTGCTTTCCTACCAATTATCGAGAAATATTTAACAGACATGTAACATTCCTACAGTCTTGTGTGATCGTACGTGATTATTACCTCCACACTTACATTAAGAAGAACATGCTAGTGCATGGTTTTATACCATATTCAGCATTGTTCAGCACATTCTGCACTCTTGTCAATTGGTGAATAGCTCTCGGGCATGAACTTACAGTAAAGAACTTCTAGAAGAACTTCTTTAATTAGAATTGTTTCATGGTGCTTTGCAGGGGTTCGTAAGTACTTCTTCTCCACCAAGGAAAGCGTCAGCTCAGATTGGAAGGACCTGGCCTTCCATCTGGGACTTGAGCGGGCAGACATCGACAACATTGCGGGTAGAAACCGAGATGACAAGTCTCGCTGTATGGACCTGTTGGAGGAATGGCTCAAGCGTAACGGAGAGAGAGCCACCATGGAGGTCATGATGGAGGCTCTGTCTGCGGCGAAGTTACAGAGTACTGTGGACAGGCTAAAGAAGAGATATCCTGGTAATAAACCATACTTTTGTGCTGTCCTTTATCTATATATTAAAATAAAAACATATTTGCCTTGATATTATGTACTTATGTTGTAAAATGAATGAAGATATATTCATTCATCCTAACTGTCTTATATACGTAGATATAGTGTTTTTGTTGCTATTTTTGTAACAGTAAAATTCTTGAAAGAGCTACAAAGGAAATGAGAATTAAAAACATGATACTAGCCAAATACTTACTTCCTAACATCTTCGGACACGAAGAAGAGGCCAACAACAACTAGCCAAATACTTAATATGATAATCAATCCTCATATGCAATGTTCATTGTAACTAGATGTCAGTGTTGCCGTGATATCTATCTCTTTGTAACATTACTAATATATTAGTATTGTTTCCAGAGTGGGATAGACCTCAACCCTCAAGTAGCAAGCAGGAAAGGAAGGAGGGAGAAGATCAGTTGCCGGCGAAGAAAGGAGAGGACATACCTATAGAGAGTGAGTCTGTTGACGTTATATAATCGTTTTATGGGAGCATAAAGCATGTACAGTACAGAAGCTGACGGATGATGATGATGATAACTTCAAGATGTTGAACAGATGTTTTCCTTTCTCGTTTTGCACGACATTCAATGAATTTGTCTATGCTTGATTTTTTTTCTAGAGCGAATTTAACTATCTTATCTTCAATATCATAGCCCATCGCCGAATTGCAAAGGAGCTCGATTAGAAAAAAACTTACCTCTTGGTCAAAAATTATCACAGTACTTTCAATTTATTAGTTGCCGTAACAATGTTTACAACTCCTATTCACGAATTTCTCTTTTCTATTCCAGGTGTGTTCAAGGCGTCCGTAAGAAGGTACTATGACTTAAAGCTAACAAAATTCAAACCCCTGATCTGGAATGACAACTTCACACTTAGCCTCGCTGATGTCTTCACAGAATTAGAGTTCATTCGAACACGCGAAAAAGGTCACCGGCCAGCCGCAGAAATAGAGAGGCTAGACGATCTGTTGAATCCAAATGTCACGGTACCGTCTACAGCACTAAGGTGCATTTTAATCGAGGCCGAACCGGGAGGGGGAAAGACAACATTTATGTCCAAAGAAGCAATGGATGCTGTCTCACAGAAAACAGAGCTGGGCAAAAGGTACGACATCGTCCTGTTGATCCGACTCCGGGAGGTGAGAGAGGGGGAGACCATAGAGGAGATGGTGTGGGACCAGTGTGTTCCGGAAACAACTGAAGGTGTTGATGTACAGTCCATCAGAGCGATCCTACAGAGGAACGAGTCCAGTCTACTCTTTCTCCTAGATGGGTATGATGAGCTGCGGTCTGAGGCCAGGGCAGCCGGGCAGGCCATTCCCAAACTGCTATCAGGCAAGCTGTACCCCAACAGCACGATAGTGATCACCTCCCGACGATTACATGCCTCAGCAGGAGTGGAGAAGCATACCCAGCCAGACTGTCACGCACGCATCACTGGCTTGTCCTTTGAGCGCATGGAGAAATTTGTCGGACAGTACTTCACATCTGTTGACAAGCAAGACCTGGCAAAGCCACTTACATCGTATCTCGATGACCTTGATGACAATGATCTTTTGGGAGGTTTAGTCCAGACCCCAATATTCCTAATGGTGGTCTGTCTGTTGTGGGAAGAAGACCAAGCCATGGTGACTGCCGGGACGATGACCGGACTGTACGACAATCTGCTGACGTGTCTGGTCAAAAAACACTGTAAGCGGGAAGGAGTGAATATGCCAACAGACGGGATGCCCGAAGACTTGGCTAGTGCATTACTGCAACTCGGCAAGCTTGCGCTAGAGGCGCTGCTGAAGAAGGAGACCCAACTTGACCTTGCAGAAGCAGAAAGACAAAACTTGAACTGGGGGCTGCTGCTGAAGCTTGGCGTTGTTTTTGCCGAGGAATCTGCCTCAAAACTGCACCCTCGGAAACAGCTAACATTTGCACACAAGACGATGCAGGAGTTCCTGGCAGGGCGGTATGCCGCTTCTGTTGTGGTGAATCAAGACATTGGAGAGCTGCGGAAGCTTACATCCATAAGCGATGTGCTTGAACACCGTTCCCTGCTGAAGTTTACCTGTGGATGTGGTTCGCGGGCAGCACAAGCTGTGATGGAATGGCTTGCAAGTATCAGCAGCAAGGAATACGAAGGTTTAGAGGTACAGCAAGTAACAAAGCTGGATTGGCCATGGATGCCATTAAAAGACCCGGTGGTGCATAAACCATTTGATACTAGAACTTACAAGGACTTTGTTTATCTGTGCCTGGACATCCTGAATGAAAGGCAAGAACCGGGCGTACTACAGGCAGTCAACAGAGCCCTGCCCTTCATTGTCTCACACAATGTCATTAACAGTAGGCAACATGCTGCCCTTAAATACTACGTAAAAAACATCCAGTCATCATCACACCCCGTGAAAATGGCACTGGAAATAGGTGGTCCCGCTCATTATGTAATATTTCAAGGTCTTCAGTTCCTGGAGCATACATTCCCCTCGCCTACCCCAGGTCTGCTGTTAGACCTGTCTCTAACCGGTGTATTTGTTTGTTCAGCCATACTGACAGAAGGACTGGTTTCCATTTTGAAGAGAGTTCCTGGGCTGAGGGCGCTGGACATGTCAGAAACACGGCAATCAGCAGCATCACTCCGGCCAATCGTACAGGCGTTCAGACACATGTCAAAGCTAGAAGAGCTGGATCTTAGCCTCAATGAACTTGGCAATGATGAGATAGATGTCTTGCAGGAAGGGCTGAAAAGTCTTCCACAATTGGCTGTACTCCATCTTCGTGCAAATATTTATCAACAGATCACCATAACAGCTACAGGCATGTCGCGCCTAGCTCCCTCCATGTGCAAGCTAACGAAGCTGAGGGAACTGGATATAAGTTGCAATAAGATCGGTGACACTGGAATGAAACGTCTCGCCTACGTACTGCGTCTCCTCACTAGTATGCAGATATTGGTCTTGGCGCAAATCGGCATCAGTATCACAGGCATGCGTAAACTGGTCCGTGCTCTGCGTAACCGAACTGGACTGCTAAAACTGGATATTTCTGGGAATCACATAGGAGACACCGGGTTGGGGTGTCTGGTCGACATCCTTCCTCGACTCACGGCAATGAAGGTGCTGGAACTCAGTAAGACATGTATCAGCGACAAGGGAATGTCAGCTCTCGTCAGGAATCTGCTATACTTGGCAGAATTACAGGTGCTGGATGTAAGTCATAATGCGATAGGGGATTCGGGGATTGTGAACCTGGTCCAGACACTTAACTGTCGGGCTAGCAGTCTACAAGACCTGAACTTCAGGGAGAATAGTGGAGTAACAGCAGCCGGGCTGGAGAGAGTCTCACAGGTCATCGCATTGCCATCGCTTATCAGGCTGGGCATGTGTGCTTACCCGGATCGGGAGACGCTCATACACTTGCCTGACACTGCTGCTATGGCCGTGGCCCAGGCTCTAGCCAGACTCCCTGCCTTGGAGCGGATTGATCTGTGCTACATCTCCATGGACCCTGCAGGGTTCCAGGCTGTGGTGCAGGCTGCTGAGGAACAGCCGTGTAAGCTGTGGTGAGTACATGTATACATTAAAGTAGTATAAATGTTCCGCCCAAGAATTGTACAAAAATCTTCATATCCTGCTTACCAATGCTGATAATCTGATTTCAATTGATAAACATTTATCTATCTTATTCTTTTTTCTAGAAGATAAAACACAACTAAGCTGAATACGAATGTAAATCTTTATATTAATTATCAATATGAACTTCAAACATGTTCACGCTTCGATCTACAGGTACACTAAGGAGGGAGTTCCTGAAGGAGCCGAAAGGTCAGTAATGGAGCATTATATATCTTTGTGTTTCTACTCTTGTCTGTTAATCCATTGGCGGTAAACCGTACCATTCCTTGATGTCGCCACAAATCAAGAATCGCATATGACAAAATATAGCTTCCATATGAGTCTATGGAATAATGCAATATGCTTTTGTGCCATATGTTAAGGCAAACGTGCTTCCCTTTTTTATAATTTACTTCAGGCAAATTCAGGAACATTTTGAATTTGAAAACTCTTGGTGGATAATATTTGGATGTTTTGTGTTGTTTCTCGTTTACATAAGACAAGATGTCGTATGATCTTATCACTCTCCAAGCAGAGGTTTGGGGTTATTTTTGGCGTGTTTTTAGGTTTTTTTTATCGGGGTTTCTCTTTTGCACTGGAATTGTTTTTCAGAAACCCCGATAAAAAAGCCTAAAACACGCCAAACATACCCCCAAACCCAAACATCTGCTTGGAGAGTAGTATGATCTGACTTTGGACAGTCTCTATATGTGTTTTTCTTCCATCTGCAGGTATAGATGGCAAAATTCGGAGCGGTTGGATAACATTGACATGGTGGCCGTGATGGAAGAGGCTGCGGCTATGTTTGCCGATGGTAGAGCTCGTGTAAAAGGAATGAATGTCTTTCTCCCCAAAAAAGAAATTTAGAAAACATCCATTTTGTACTATCACCATGAATAACCTGTATCATCTAATAAATCTGTTCAGGCTGTCTGCCGTATAATCCGCGATGAGACCTATGGTTCATGGATTATAATCATATACCACACTAGTCATCGGTTACAATAAAGACTTCACTTGCATTACATTTGTCAGTCATATGATATGGACATGATCGGGGAGTGATCTGATTCTTGACAGCAGATGATGACTTGCCATCTGGCGGATGAGAATGTTTCACAGTCTCCTGTACTAACGAGGGTCTGGGCACATAGCCGTGTGATATGTTGTTAATATGCGACGGGAAGTTGAGGGCGTTCTTGGTAATGCCGTGGATGTCCGTGGTATGTAGATAGTTGATAGACACATGTGATGTTACTTTAGATGTAAAGTTATTTGTTAAGCTGTATGTAAATAATGTTTCAATTTTGATGTAGTGTATTAGTTATTTATAGTTATAGTTAATTATTCCGTATTATTGTTCAGTATTTGCTATACATTGTATCAAATGCAATTGTTGTGCAATAAACTTGACTTGACTTGTATTTGTATGATGTACTATATGTTTAACTCCAGGAAGACTAGCTGCACACTTGATTTTGTACTTTTTTTTTATATTCCGAAACATGCAATCACAAGACGTGGTGACGGCACACTCAAGTTTTTTCAACTTATATTAATGTCGCCACCAACACAGGGACAGTACAATACTCATTTACACCTGAGCGAAGTGAGGAAAGTCGTGTAAAGTGCCTGACATGCCACAAGATCGGTGGCATGTCAGGACTCGAACCGGCCGGGGCCTCTGGTTCCGAGTCGAGAACGCTGCCGCTACGCCACACGACCCCACTTTGTACTTGTATGGAGCTAATGCACCTATAGTAAGCACCTTAGTATTAGGTTTTTGAGGCAAAAGAAGAGTCCCACACATAGATTATTCTTGCAGTACCCTGGGTACTCTGGCGGGGGTGACAGCGAGTTTGTTCGGTAGCCCAAGGCAGTTGTGCCCCGCCAGATAGATAAACAAGCTGGGGACCGGAGTTGTAGGCAGGGGAGACAACAGAAACAACAGAAGAAAACATCGTATTTTGACGTAGTGAAAATCCGCAGATGATCTTGTTCAATCTTGCTTTACCAACAAGATATAATAAAGCAAGAGGGGCCGCTTTACAGACAACGTCTCACAGGTGTAGTCAAAAAAGCCGACAGATCACAATAGGGACCTCTAAATAGACAACGTCTCACAGGTGGTCAAATACGCCGGCAGATAACAATAGGGACCTGTAAAAATACAAGCCAGCAATAAAACAAAGGAGCCTTTATACAGACAATATCTCACATGTTGTAAAACAAGCCGACTGATAAGCAAAAGGAATCAGTGATTTGCCGCCCAGACTTCTGTCACGTCCGCGCCATCCACTAGACAATCCACACATTTGCATTCTTCCCCTATATAAACGCGAACCGGTCCTGGTGCATGTATCATTTGCTGTCCTCAGTGACACGCCGAGAACGTCACCAACGGCTCTTCCACTTTCTGTACGTACTTGTGGAAAATGGCATCCAAACATGCAGCTGTGCGTACAAAGAAAGCGGTTTCCGCACCTCAAGAACTGAAGAAGAAGCCCAGCCTTCCGACGGTCTATAAATGTGGCTGCAAAGGCAACTGCGGGTCCACACGATGCGGCTGTGTGAAGAGAGGCTCTGCCTGTGGGGACTCCTGCAAGTGTGCCGGCTGCAAAAACCCCTTCAACATCCTCCAGGAGTACGGCATCGACTGTGCCGCAGCAGCCCGGGACAGGTGTCTCATGGACAACATCTTCAAGATCAAGACCGAAGATCTGCGAACTCGCCTGGGGAAGAAAAAAACCGTGCTCTTCTGCTGCGAAATTTGGCTACCTGTAAAGGACATGGTCCCTGGGTATGTCGAATGTCCCATAATTGACTGCCCGATTCAGTCGCGGTATTCCTGGTGTCGGGACCACACTGCCGAGCAGGCGTGCGACAGCCTGAGGCACTGTGAGAAGTGCGGCGTCTGTGTGAACGTGGACGAATGGGACCGACACTGCGACGACTGCAACAAATGCTACCGTTCTGGCGGCTGGTCGTGTTTCCCGTGCCCGTGTAAGCGCCCGGGCGCAGGCATTGACTGGTCAGACGAAGACAGCGACTCGTCAGATGATGACAGTGATTCGTCAGATGATGACAGCGACCCTTTCAAGCTATTCAACGAGGCACGCTTCTTGTGCGATGAAGACATTGACTGGTCACGGCATGTACAGCGTGTACAGTATATGTACAGCGATTCGTCAGATGAAGACAGCGACTCGACAGATGAAGACAGCGATCGTCCGATTCGTCAAATGGTGACAGCGATTGGTCAGATGAAGACAGCGACTCAGCAGATTCGTCAGATGAAGACAGCGGCGTCGACTCGTCAGGTGAAAACAGCGGCGTCGACTCGTCAGATGATGACAGTGGCGTCGACTCGACAGGTGAAGACAGCGGCGTCGACTCGTCAGATGAAGACAGCGGCGTCGACTCGTCAGATGAAGACAGCGACGTCGACTCGTCAGATAAAGACAGCGGCGTCGACTCGACAGGTGAAGACAGCGGCGTCGACTCGTCAGATGAAGACAGCGACGTCGACTCGTCAGGTGAAGACAACGGCGTCGACTCGTCAGGTGAAGACAGCGGCGTCGACTCGTCACATGAAGACAGCGGCGTCGACTCGTCAGATGAAGACAGCGGCGTCGACTCGTCAGATGAAGACAGCGGCGTCGACTCGACATGTGAAGACAGCGGCGTCGACTCGACAGTGGAAGACAGCGGCGTCGACTCGTCAGATGAAGACAGCGACGTCGACTCGTCAGGTGAAGACAGCGGCGTCGACTCGTCCGATGACAGTGGCTCGAAAGATTCGTGAGATGAAGATAGCGACTCAACAGATGAAGACAGCGACTCAACAGATGAATACAGCCACTCGACAGATGATGACAGCAGTTCGTCAGATGAGGACAGCGTTTCGTCAGATGAAGACGGCGACCCGTGGAAAGAAGCACGCTTCTTGTCAAACGTGCATGACGGCTCCACTGTGAGAGGAAAGAACTACAGGCGTAATGTGGACGATTTTTCCTGAGTTTTCTTGATGGCTAACTTTATTGCTAACTTTACTACGCATAATTCCATCGTAAACCTTCTGGGAGTATTTTATACACTTTCTTTACCCGTAGGATGGTGTCACCAAGTTCAAACATTGCTATATGCACTGTAACGTAGTGCCACATTAATCTACCATAAGGAGTCTGTAGTGTAATTTCTTGTTAGTTGATACCTTTTACCAATTTGATCGATTTTCAAATTTCGAGAACATCTTGTCACGGAGATACTTGTTTAACAAGTGAACCATTGCCCTCACGGTGTACTTCTGTTTAACAGAGTGGAATAAAACTTTCGAATTCTAGCTCCGTGGCGTTGTTTCCATGCTTTGCTGGTCACTCAATGTAACACACCATGGATCTTGCAATCAAGGAGAGAGGTTCAATAGCCATTCCTTGGGCATAGTAATGGAAAGGACAAATACTAGTAAATACGTATTACTGACAATACTGCGAGGCATCGCAAGAGGGCGTGACTAAATGCTGCGTGGTCATATTTTCTCACAGAAAAATCAACGTCAAGTGATGGCTATACATATGCACGGTATCGTGAGTCGTGAAGAAGGGAGAAAAAGAACACACAACACTCTAATCTAACAAAACGCCGCAACAAAGGAACACATGCCCATGCCACACATCTACTTGGAGATTGGCCTCCCACCGTCTGGCCTGGGTTGTTCCATGTTGATAAAAGGGGTGCAAAATATAACCCTTGCTTCTAAAAGTCAAACATCCAAGACTTTTATCGCTTAGAAATACAAGGTATGGAAGTAGTAAAGTTGTATTGTTGAGAAGTTTCCGTTCCAAAACGTAGGGAATACTTTGATTTTGATAAGATAAAAAATGCCCAAATGATAACACGCATGCGCATTGGTTCCTTTCCCCCAGTGGTGCGGCACGTTGCGACAGTGGTTTAGAAAGAACGACCAAAAACGCGATAAAAAGGAAATTTTAGACCATTATAGTTGGTGGATTGGAACCAGAAACGTTTCCAGAATGTACGGGGGTGAAGACTACCAAGACGTGAGTTTTACCGTGAAGTTTTTACCTTTCAATATGTGTCACTCTTATGGCTGCCCCCCTCCCCCATATTACATTACTAAAATTTTAAGACTAGATTTTGACTTTTTAGGAAAGTAAAACGCAACCTCGCGTTGTTAGTCTGGTCCTCAGTAGGCCTACAGTAGGCTCGAGAAAGGAAAACATTTTCTAATCAAGAAAGGGGCAAGTTGATCTAGCCATACTTCGACGTTGATGCAGAAGTAAAAGTAGACACCAACTTGACCAAGTGGCTTTCATCCAGCTGGTATAGAGGCAAGCACACCTGGTCACCCCTTCTATGATTTTTCGATAAGTGTGTCGAGTTCTTTTATACTTACGAGTTACGTTGAATGTTATGTTCTTTGTTCCAGTATGACCAGTATGGCCAACATCCATACGGCCCTCCAGAACCATATGAACTGCACACAGGTATTTGTTACCTTCGCCAAGAAGGTTATGTTTTCAGTCGCGTTTGTCTGTCTGTCTGTTTGTGAACAGCATAACTCAAGAAGCTTAATATGTATTGTCATGAAACTTGGTAGGTGGGTAGGTCTTGATGAGACCTAGAAATGATTAGATTCTGGGCCCCCTGGCGGCTTTTGTTGGTACTGCAGCAGAACTTCCGGTTTTGATATCTCGCGATCTGGACATGCTAGAGTCACGAGTTTTGGTTGGTAGATAGCTCTTGAGGTGGGGAAGAAGTGACATGAGTTTGGGCCCCCTAGCAGCTTGTTCTGGAACTGCAGGAGCGTTTCTTGAAAAAATCTCCGAAGGTTGATAACTCAAGAACCGGTTGACGGATTGTCATGATTTTTGGTATGTAGGTAGCTGAAGTGATACTTGACATAATCAGATGACAATTATGCAAATCAGGAGCTAATTTGCATAATTAATGAGGACATTCTATAAATCTGCTTCGTTCGATTATAGGACTTTGAAACACTTGTGACATGTAATTGAGAACTAGAAAAACATCTGAGGATATAGATTATGTAAATGAAGACCTAATTTACATAATTAATGGAAAATTGTTATAATTTCATAGTTGTAATTGCTGGGAATTTCATACTTGCCGTATTTGGAAGTTAAGTGAAGGTGAACATCAATGAAGATAATTTATTCACATTATGAACTCATTTGCATAATTTATGAGGAAGTGCTAGAATAGCCTACTTTGTTAAGATAAGGCTGCCATTGGGTAGAGAATATGATCAACTGATGTAATCCATGCATATGACGCTCTTATTTGCGAAATCAATTATTAAAATTGTATAATTCGTCAACCGCAAGGGTTAACATCATTTGGCGAAGGTATGAGATCGTGGAACTCTTGTTTGTTTATTTGTTTGTACCACATACCCAGTAAACAGCCTCATAGTGTAAGCACCAGGTCTACATAAAGTACTGTAAATCTTGAAATATTGGTGGTTTTAATTTTTGGTGCCTCTTCACTGTGAAATCATGACACTATGAATACCTGTTTCTTTGTTACAGGATTGTTTCAAGTGCGAACTTAAAGAACTTCCAAATCCAAGTTCCCAAAAAGTTAAATCCCAACAAATTACAGTACCTGAGTACAAGTTGTGCATCCAAACTGACTGGTTAGATTCAACCAGAGCATACAGATACTCTTATTACAAGTGTGTTTACATCTCTGATGTTTTGTTGTTGTTGTTTACCTGTTTAGGTGACCCGCGTGCTGACCTGGAGTACGAGCGTCAGTACCAGCAGGCTCCGCCCGCGTATATCGTACCTGACGTCATCAAACGCTTCATCGAGTACTTCCACAAGTGTGTAGGCGATGGCAACGTCTACGAAATAGGCAACATCTATGAAAACAGGTACATCTGATCATTTAATGTCTAAGCATTCTTCAACAATGAGGATGGTATTTCCAGGCTTCAGGAAACTGTACTGGTAACATTGAAAATTAACTGCACCAGAAAATTTGTTAGAAACCATTGCCATTATTTCTTTTATGCTTTATTTCTACTTATATTTCTACCTATTTTTTCTCTACTTATTTTCTTTTATACATAAGTGTAGGTGTATTTTTTTTACACTAAAGAAAGTAGACAAGCCAGTATACAAATTTTTTTACTGTCTTCACTAGGGAGCATACCCGCTACCTTAGGCACAAGACTTTATTTTTATGGATATCTTACTTGAGTAATATGAGCCACACAGCTAGTGACTTAATCTGCCTTTCTTGTGTCTTAGCTTCAACAAACTGACAGAGAGGTTCTTCAAGACATCCTCCTGGCCCGAGGCTGAGTACATCATGCCGTTAGTAAAAAATGGTAGGATATTCCTTTCATTTGTTGTAATAACTAGTCCATAGTTGACTATTGAGAATAACTTTAGTATATTTAACTGTTGTCATGTTCATAAACCCTTTCTAAATTTGTCAATCTCTTGTCTTCATAAATGACAGAAGATTTGACTTAGGTTGATGATGATGATAAGTCAGTAACTCATTCATATGTGTTTTTGCTATGGTTTTTTTCCACAGACAATGTGTTCCTGATTCTGTACAAGGAGCTGTACTTCAGGCATATCTATGCCAAGGTTCAGGTAAGGACTGATTTTAGTCATTTGAGTCCATGGAAAAACTATAATGTTAAACCTTCACTCACCTAAAATTGAAAGAATTACCTAAACATGTGGCCATGTGTGTATTACTAAATGGTGGCACTAGTAGGAAACAAAATATATGAAAGCACTTCATAATATTTTTTACATTTAGATTGTATAGAGAAGTTACAGAATGAATCTAACTTTTACCATTCTTGGTTGTTTTTCCTCTTCAGGGTGGACCAAACTTGGAGCAGAGGTTTGAGTCCTACTACAACTACTGCAACTTGTTTAACTACATCCTCAGTAAGTCTTATCCCGGAACAGTTCATATGGCATTTTTTCGTAACATTTTTGGCCAAAAGCTAGAATGTGCAAATTATTTGGCAGGCACACTGCATGGTGGCAGCTGGCTATATTACACTTGTAACACCTAGTCTTTGCACATCTAAATCTAAACATTGTATAAAGCTATCTAGTGATGATGTCCAGCTACTGTACTTGGTGGCAGCAAGTCCCACTCTATGATAGCTCTAGGAAACCTGACTAAACTTGAACTTTGTGCTTTGGTTTGAAAAAATAGTGCAATAAACATACAGTATATACATGTATTTTTGGCATGACCTCAAGGGTGGAGCCATTTTGTTCCTTGTTGTGATTTATTTCTGAAATTTATTTTAGTCCTTGACTCATGAACTCATCTTTTTTTCCTGTGCTTCCCCGGCCTCCAGACCAGAAGTCTCCGGTACCATTAGAGCTGCCCAACCAGTGGCTGTGGGACATCATTGATGAGTTTATTTACCAGTTCCAGTCCTTCACACACTACCGCAGCAAACTCAGCAAGAAGGGCGACGATGAGATCATGATCCTACGCTCAAACCCCAAGGTTCGTATGAACTTTGAAAAGATTTAAGTTTTTTTTTATTGCAGTATCATATCAGTTTGTTCACTGCATGGTGACTCTCTTTGTGAAAAATCGGAACTTGGCAAGACATAAAAGTTGTTATCTGTTTCCCATCCTGTAGATCTGGAACGTGCACAGTGTGCTGAATGTGTTACACTCGCTGGTGGACAAGTCCAGCATCAACAGGCAACTGGAGGTCTTCAGCAGTGGAGGTCAGTACCAGCCCAAGTTTTCTTTGTAGAAAAAAGGTATAGAGCACAAGGGGCTGGAGTGATCAAGTGGGGGTTAGTGTGTAGGTTTTACAAATGATCGAAAAGTGGACTTTCAATGGCATCCTTTTTTCATTGTTTGCCCTAATTAGTAAACAAGAGCACAACATTGAGGTCTTTCATGGATTTGAACCCAGAACCTTTAGATTCAGCAATGCTAACCTTGCTACTTTGCCATATCCACAGCCATTACTTGGTCATATCACCTCAACCATAGCCAAAGAAGTCTAACTCTGTTGCATACCACCACATGTACAGGTGATCCTGACAGTGTAACAGGTGAATTTGGTCAAACAACCATTATAGATAAAGTCTAACTCTGTTCCCTGCTCACACAGGTGACCCTGACAGTGTAGCAGTAGATTTTGGTCCAACGACCATTATGATAAAGCCTACAAGTAACTCTGTTGCGTACCACCACAGGTGACCCAGACAGTGTAGCGGGAGATTTTGGTCGTCACTCGCTGTATAAGATGCTGGGTTACTTCAGTCTGGTGGGCCTGCTGAGGCTCCACTCCCTGTTAGGGGACTACTACCAGGCCATCAGGGTCCTGGAGAACATCGACCTCAACAAACAGGTCAGGGGTTAGAGTATTGTACATCAGCACACTTCTGCAGTGGTTTTATTTGGTAATAGGAGAGAAAGGGAGCTCGAGTTTTTATTGTTTTTTTTTTTCATCTGTAGTGTAGTCCTAGACTGCTATGGGACCGGTGAGGTGAGGTGAGAGTGTAGTCCTACAATAAACACCTGAAAAGGCAGATACAGGGAAAAGAAAAACACATAATCTGGACTCCAATCGCTAATCATATACAAAAATCTAAGACATCTGTGAAACCCACCATGAGTTATAGCTGCGAACACACAAACACGACCGAAAACAGAAGGTTATCTCTGTCCACATGGAAATAATGTAAAGCCACTACGAAAGTTTTACAATGTACAATTCTAGTATTGGATTTAGTTTATGACTTCAACCAAAATATGTTGTGCCAAGGAAACAATGTCTAAGAGGGGGGGGGGGATGGCTCCTAGTTGGTCAATGCCATCAGGCTATATTTTATTAATACCTATATATTTTTCCTGTAGGGTTTGTACTCCCGAGTGCCGTCGTGCCAGATCAGTATGTACTACTACGTTGGGTTTGCGTACATGATGATGCGGCGCTACCAGGACGCCATACGCACCTTCACCAGTATCCTCCTGTACATCCAGCGCACCAAGACCATGTTCCAACGCCAGAGCTACACTTTTGACATGGTACTGAACCTCAGTGTCCTTATTGTTCAGCAATGGGATTGTTAATATTGTTACAAATGTATTTTGAAGTTTTGGATAAAGCTTGTGCCTAACACGGGTGTTTTGATGTGTGTGTCTGGATTGGTATACCTTACAAATGTTTGCTACTGTAAAGATATGAAGAGAGTATACTTGGGATAATCCTGTCTCATACAAAATTCAACTGTATTGTTTTGGAAAAGACTTTCTTAGATCCTTTTCAGTGGTTGGTTCTGTCACAGCCTACTGGAGAATTCCATGACATAAAAGTCATACGAAAACCTATGACAAATGTTGTCTGGATGACTATCTGTCTTTGTCCCATTCATCTCAATTTCCGCACAGTAAATTGTTACGTGTGGCATACTAATATTTGTATTGCCACTGGTGATTACATTATTATTAACTCTCACAAGTGAAGTAACAGTACTCCTGCTGTCTCCTACATGGTGCCAAAAGTTTTAACCCTGTGTTGTGCTGTTCCAGATTATGAAGCAGAATGAGCAGATGTTTAACCTCCTGGCAGTCTGCCTGACCCTGTACCCCATGCGTATCGATGAGAGTGTCCACTCCCAGCTGAGAGAGAAGTGTGGGGAGAAGATGATCAGGATGCAGAAAGGGTACGTGGAAATATTTTCATTTTTTTAGATGCCAAAGCCCTTCCTAATTAAGTTGGTGAACAAAAGTGAGGCTAGCAGTTAGTACACAATGTATTTAAAACAGCCATCCCAAATATGGATATGCTGGCTATTGTTATCCCTCCCTCTGGAAAACAGCATTTTCTCATATGTGGAATGTATTTGGAATGACACTTCTGGGAACAGCAACAACATTTACCACTATTTACATGTACATCTTTGTCAGTCTTGTTCAAGAAGTGCTTTAGGGTGTCCCTTAGTAATAGTCGTCGACTAGTTGGGACTCCCTGGCTTCTTTGTAAGCCAAATAAATAAACGAAATAAACGAAAGAAGTGCTTTTCTAGGTGATAAGGAGGTTAACCACCCTTTGTTCTTTTTTTTATCCAGGGACATGCAGGCCTTTGAGGACAGTTTCTCCTTTGCCTGCCCAAAGTTCCTGTCTCCAGTGGCTCCAAACTATGAAGCACCACCAGCAAACTACCACAAGGTACCACTGTTATCATATAAACTCATTTTGTATTCAGTGTCTGCTTTTTGTGTGTCTGTAGTTGTATATAAGATGAGAATGAGAGACCTAACACACCTAACCTTTGAACATCTAACTCTGAACAAAGATAACTATGGCTGCATGATACATACATGTATATGCCTTACACAGGAGGCGTTCATGGCCCAGCTGAAGGTGTTTATAGATGAGGTCCAGCAGCAGATCGCCCTCCCCGTGGTGCGCAGCTACCTTAAACTCTACACCACCATGCCTGTCTCCAAACTCGCTGGGTTTCTCGACATGGTAAGTTCGCCTTCCTCTACATTTTTTTCCTTCCCTGACTTTCAGCAAAGCCCATTTCTATATACATGTATCCGACAGTGTACCTGTATCTGTATCTGAATAGCCGGTATAACCGCCTTTCGGCGCAACACACCAGCTTCGCACACCACCTGTATTGTAAAGCTGCTAGCATGCTTCAGCAGCTGGTTATGGTTATCTAACTCCAAGTGTTGTTAAAAGATAATAAAGTGATGATGCCTGTACTGTACTTGCTGATGAGTTCCACTCTACAATATTGCTAAGAAAAAACTTTGATTCCATGTTCTTTTCTTAGTTTTTAGTAAATACATTTACTTAAGTTTGTGGTTATAGTGAGAATTATGTGTAAGAGCTATTAAACTTTAAGCCAGATTCAATGATAACAGTCAACTAACAATTTTCTTTTGTATGCGACTGTTTTGTTTATGAGGCAGGGTAAAATTAACCGATGATTTTAGATAAATGAATGCGGTGTGTTTCAGACTGAAGAGGAGTTCCGTACTCACCTGCTCTGCTTCAAACACAAGATGAGCAACGTCACGTCCTCCAAGGGCACCGGGGGTCTGGATGGGGAGTTCCAGTCTGCCTCTGAGGTCGATTTCTTCATCGACAAGGTACTCTAAAAACCCCTCATGTTTAGTTGAGGTCCATGTCTTAGGTATTATTTTTTTAAAAGCCAGTAAGAGACAGAAACTGACAAGAATACTGTAAATCTTAAGCTTCAAGGTCACATCACTACAAACCCATTTTAACAGCGTAAAGTATGCATTTCATATCTGGTGCTGATTTTTTTTTTCAACTTCAGTAAGTTTCATAAGAAAATTATCTCCCCCCCCCCAAAAAAAAAAATATCAAGCATTCTTAACTATACTGTGTGGTGACATTTATGTGTCACCAGAAACTGAAATGAAGTTACTGTATTTCCGTTACAGGACATGGTTCACATAGCAGACACGAAGGTCGCCCGCCGCTACGGTGACTTCTTCATCAGGCAGATTCATAAGTTCGAGGAGGTAAATATCAAATATTATTACTAACAACTCTGACTTGTTTTGTTGAAATGTAAATAAAAAGTAATACTAGTAATTCAAAGATCAAGAAGACCACACCACATCTCTTTGTTCTTGGATTTGCTCCATTCAATTTCAGTTATTAAGCTGTTACTCCACATATGCATGTCTATTAGTATTGGTTTATATGTTATGCATTTAAGGCCATTTAAGTCCATGTAATAGATGTTTCATATTGCATTTAATGCAATTTTAATGTCATCTCCTCTTTTCTGTTTTTGTTCAGATGAAGAGGAGCTTTGGAGAGCTTCAAACCAAGAGCTGATCATCTGGAAATGCCAACCAGTAAATTATAGTCTTCAGCAATGTGTGACAGTCCTTCTTTTGAAAAGATGTCAGCCTTTGGTGTGGTGTGATTTCTCTCTGTTTCAGTGAGTGCCAGCTACCCTGGATCAAAGACTGGTCAAGATTGTATCCAACCATCAGAAGACTGAGCTTTCATTTCCAGTTCATATTATGCTTTTGACCATTACTAACAGACATTTAATCCAATACATCAAATCATAATCATAGACCGTTGGGTAAAGATAGATGATAAAAATCTGGAGTTTCACTTACAAAACTAAACATATGTACAACAGAATAGCAATGTTGTACATATGTTAAGTTGCATATTAGGCTGAACGGTTCTATCAAACACTTTTAGATGCACCTTTTATCAGAACAAGTTTCAATCAGTGCCAGATATATGTACTGAGGTGAAACATACAATATACAAGTATGACATGTGTACAAAACTATGGATATGCTGAAAATCTTTCGGTTACTTGGTTTATCAGCAGGAAATCAATAAATGGTGCAGTCTCTGGTACTGCAGTGAAAATTCAAGTTGTAATTCTTGTATGTTTTGTTTGGAACATACTACTGTCATGACTCTTGAGCAGTACAAATATTTTGATACAGCCTTATAAATTATAATTGTATTGTTTAGACTGCAGCCGGAATATCAATTATAGTATTCTTGCTTACAGTAGACAGGATTCATAATCTATCAGTCAGTGGCATTATGATAATCAAAGTAAAAACCACAATGGCCAAGTACATGTAGTCCCTATGCTGATGGAGGTTGTCACACCTTGTCTTACATGTAATATACAGTTATGTACATGCTATGGCCACAATGCCCAGCCTGAGGCCCAGCCCAGGCAGCTTGCGAGAATGAAAAGTGTGATATAAAAGACAAAAAAATATAAAATCTTAGTCTGGGAGAGAAAATCTAATTAATTTGAAGTGTTCACATTGCAAAAATTTACAACAAACAATTTGATGAATTCTGAAACAATTTGATGCTCAAATCGATTAATCCCTGCCCAGAAACCCGACAAAACTGGACTCCACGCTACAATAGTGAGTACAGCTGTGTCTGAACTCTGCATCTGGCCTGACTGATTTTCCTCGTCATCTTAGATGTTCAGTCTACTTCTTACCAACGAGACGACGATACCTTCTCACCACTCCTGTAGTGGTGCCAGGTGATCTGTGTAAACGCGGACATATTTTCCGTTGTTCTCCATCTTGGCGTAACAGAAGATCTTCTTAGATGAGAGCTGGTTGGTTCCCAGTACTCCACACTCCATGATGATGTGGTACAGCTGGCTGTTCCTGACATGGAGAGATGAAAATTGTCACACAAAGATGTGGGGCAATAATCACATTCTCTGATAGTTTGTTTCTTTTTAGTTGAATCGAGTACTAATTTTCTTAGTCAATTAAACAGAAATCTGGCACAAATTTCATCAATGGTTTTGATATTTTCATACAGGTGGCAACCACCTGAATAAGACTGAGCATACAACCATTTGATTTTAGTTCTGCGACTAACACCTTTAGTTGTAAATTATTAAAGTAACTGACAAGTTCTATATTAAAGTCTTGTCTGGTTACAAAAATATCAACATGATTCTTGAAACAAATATTTCTTTGACATCACAAAATATTGACAGTGACATACCTGAAGCTTAGGTCAAGGGTGGTAGTCTGGTCATACAGTATCAGATCTGAATCAGGATTGTATGGCTGATATTCAGAACCTGACTGGATCTTTACAATGAAGCGTCTTCTTCCTGTTTTGTCAGGGGGAGTGCCTTGTCCGATGCCCTTCAACTCAGCATTAAAGGATCTTGAAGTAGTATAGCCATCCGAAAGCTGACTTGCGAAAAATTTCTGAGTTGTTTCTTCTGTAGAGACTCTGAAAGAGTAACCGCCCTGGATGATTTTACAAACGATCTTGTGTCGTTGCCAGTGTTGTAGTTGGCAGTCCTTTGAGCAGTAACGTGCTTTACGACACTTCCCACAGCTCATGGTCTCCTTGTGCTGGTCACCACAGAAGGCACATCCAACTGGGAGGCACGTTATGGCTGCTGAAGGATGCTGCTGCTTGGTGTCATTCCTTTCACAGACATTCCTGTCAGTGATGATAGGGGGGGCTATGAATGGCTCTCCTACCTCTTTGGGTAGCACTTTTAGCATCTTTTCTGTAGTTTCCTTGTTGAAGGTATTTATAATATATATAGCTGGACCTATGTGGTCTCTTATCACATTTTCATCAATCAGCACTCTTCCAAATTGGTTGAATCCAAACCTCAAGCCGCCACACTTGTTGGAGTGGACCAGGTTCCTAAAGATGTTTGCAGTGCTGTGTGTTTTAAGGAAAAGCCCCCAGCACCAGTTGTTGGCAATCTCATTGTCATGAAGGTCTATGGTACTGGAATCCACTGAGATCCCACTGGCACCATTATGCTCAATCCGATTTGCTTGTATTGTACATGTAAGAGCTGAGCTTTGGAGCACGATGACACCCTCTTCCAAGTTGTCATGAATATGGTTTCTAGCTACATGTGTAGTAGATGCACCTGGTCCCACGGTGATACCATGCATCCTGTTGCTGTGAATGTTGTTGCCAGTAGCTCTCAAAGTTCCTAAATTTGTAATAAAAGGAACCAGCATGTGACACATGAATAAAATAAAATGATGTAGGAGCTCTTGAATCAGAATGTGGATGTCATTTTCACCTTTGACCTTTTTCAGAATTTCAAATTTTTGAACTGCAAAGTGTGTTTTGTAGATAGTTTCCTTGGTACTACTATCACCTTGCAGACCCTACCCATGCATTAATTTTTTCTACAGATTGCATTTCAGGATGAACAATATCAGCATAAATGCTAGGAGTTGAGCATGATAATGTGGCCAATTGTTGAAAAGATACCAATGAACACATATTTTATTAAGAAAGCAATTTTTCTCATTAAATAATTTTTGTGATCTAATGTCAGGCACACTGTATTCAGCCTGATGCAGGTTTTTTTTGTGCATGCAACTTGTGGGTACTTTACAAATGTAATGTATACCAGTAGACTATGTAGCATGCATGTTTTACTTCCTTCACAATGTTGACTATTTAATCATGTTTTACCTCCATTCCTGACTTCCAGTCCAGACTGGATGTGTTTCGTCACTTCACAGTTTGTCACCACTGCATGTGAGTCTTCTCCTTCTACCAACAGACCTCCTCCTCCACAGTCTACGATGCTGCAGTGATCCACATACAGAGTACCTCCGAGAACCTATGGGTATCAACAAGCATGGAAAGGTTATGACTTTCATATAATTGTCTTTTTTTCATGTACAATGAAACTGACTACTTTATGTTGTCTACACAGCAAAATTGTGAATTTACAAATGTGCTACATGTAGCAACCAAGTCTGAGTGCAGTGTGCAAAATACCTGGTTGCCCGGGGCACAAATTTTACTTGGGGCAACCTATTTTTGAACCTAGGTAGCCTAGTGTGCTACCTGAATTTGAAGAATGTCCCCCCCCCCCAAAAAAAAATCATGCCCACTTGGCTTGCACCACTGTATCCGGCAGATACTTCTTAATTTTAGGTATTAATGGCTATTACTAGTATCAGTTAACTAATAAAGGCTGTTAGAAATATTGTCAAAGGCTTATGTATGTAACATAACTTAATTTGAGGAAAGTAGTAACTTATAGGTGGGGCAACCTAAAATTCTGATGGGCAACCTAATTTTGGGGGTAGGTTGCCAACTGGGCAACCTGGTACACTGGAGTGTATTATCAATGTAAGAGTTTCTGTCATGTTATGTCTGACATAAGGATGACCGATATGTTGTACCTCATATTCCATATTCATCCCTTAAAGGTAAATGTATCATCAAACGATCAACATCATCTGACGCAATTACAGTTACAGCGTATATTTATATGACGTTACATATTCTATCATATTAGTCTATACTATACAGTATTATATAGTAAATTAAAAAGCATAATAAATGCATTCCAACACACACCTGAAGTCCTGCAAAACCGCCCTTTCCCCGTATCTTACGATAACTTGTTGGTTGAACATCTGCCTCCTCACAAGAAGTGCTAGTGTCGTTCACACACCCAGGACCGCCCCAACAGTTTGGGTAATCCTTACAGCCTCTTCTTCCATTAGATGCCTGGCATCTGTACATTGTTGTGATGATAAAACCATTCTGTACGACCAGTTCAATACACTTCTGTGGAAAATGCAGGTTTTCAAGGTGACAGTAAACAGGCCTTCCAAGCAGTGGAAAACCAGTACATGCAATGGCTCCTTCTTTGCAATTGACAATGGTATACCTCTGCACACCCACAATCTGAACGTTGGCCATCAGACCCACCACTAAGTAATCCAGCGAGTAGTCACCTTCCTTTAGCAGAATGGTGCAGTCCTGTTTACTCTGCATGCAGGAAATCAATTCTGATGAAGTAGAAATTACTTTGATATTCAAGTTGTGAAAGTGTTTCTTCATCTGAGCATTTGTCCTGAATTTCGGCTCATGGTGAATAGCTAAGGCAGCAGCAGCTTTTGCTGCACCACTAAAATGACAGTAGGCAGGGTCTTTCTCGACTAGCTCTACCAGAGCAAGTGCTCTTCTGCAGTAGCCTTTTGCTGACCTGCTGTTCAACTCTATGCACTTGTCTGCATCTTCCAAAGACAGTTTGTACTGGTCCAGTTTCCAGTAACACAATGACCGATTGCTGTACAAGCGTTCATCAACGTTGTCACCACTGATGTTGATGGCCCTTGTGTAATAAGCTATGGCCTCTGAGTACTGTTCCTTCTTAAACAGAGCATTTCCTTGCTGACGAAGCGACTCTGGGTCTTCATTTAGCTTCTCTTGGCAATCTCCAAGCTCCTTGACATCTGCTTTCTCTGAGGCTCTGAATGACATTTCAGCATGAAGCATCTTCTGGTATTCTTCTTTAAGTGGAACATGCACACTTGTGATGTACGCCATGAAACTGTCGGTTACTTCTGTGTTGGCAACACACTCCAGTGTTTGGCTTTGTGCCTGGGTTGCTTCTGTGTGTTGCTTGTTCAAGCTCAGATACATGGATGCCTCGTGTGTCACTGCTGCAGCTTCTTTTGCCAGCATCAATCTGGAGACCAGTTCTTTGCTACTGAGTTTTGCTGTCATGTTTCTCCATACAGCACAAGCATGTCGTGCAAGCTTACCCCACAGCAAGAGTTTCCCAGAAGACGGCTCTTCGTTTCTTTGCTGTAAGACATCTTGTGGACTGCTTGTGTTTGAGAAAGCAAAGTGCAGCATCCGACAAGCACTTTGCAGATACTTAACTCTTTCATTATCACCAGAGCAACGACTGATTATGACCTCTTGGACCAGTCGATGAACAGACCAGGAATTTTTCCCGTACCTCTGTAGCAGTGAGAACTGGGTGAGGACTTCAAAAATCTCTTTTGAGCCAAGAGGAGACTCGGCATATTCTGCTAGTGGTGACTGGCTCACACAGGGATCTCCCTTATTGACCAGTTCGACTGGGATGTCGTCAGGATCCAGGTAGGCTGCGATGTTCATCATGGCACAAGCAGCTTCTGCCAACTTGGGGTCCTCACATTTTTGGATGTGTTGGAAATTGAGCAACCAAGTTGTGTGCACAGCCAAGCGATCTTTGTCGGTAGTGGACGTCACAGCCTTAACTTTACGTCGCTTAAGAAGTTTCAGTTTCTGTTGCTTGTACTGCTTCAGGTAGTCTTCAAAGGCACACTCTAAGACATTGATGTGAGCAGCAGCTTGCTCCAGTGCTAAAGGAAGGCCACCCAGTTCTCTGGCCAGTTCCTTCATCCCTGGTTGTTCCTGCTGCTGTGTTCTCTTAACGAAGAAGGCACAGGACTCGTCTTCTGACATACTCGTGAGTTCTACACAGTTATCCCTCTCAAATCCCATAGTCTCCATCATCTCAACAGCTTCTCTACGGGTTGTTATCAAGATGTGGCCTTTGGAGTTCTGCTTCCAGTGACCCTCCAGCAGTTTTTGTACCTCAGAGGAAACGTCAAATTCATCCATGTTGTCCACAATGAGGAGCCATGGCTCCTGCAGGGATGACAGCCATGCTGTTGTTCTGGCCAGCGTGTCATCAAAGTTAGAGCCAACTGTTCCGATGCCAAGTGCGATGTCATTCAGAGATATCTCTAAGGTCCTGTTGTTCTCAGCCGACATCCAATAGATTCCTCCTTGGTAGGTTTCTTGCAATCTCCACGAGTACTCAATGGCTAAGCATGTCTTTCCACAGCCCCCTAGACCGCAGATGGCAAGCTTTTTGTGGGAAATACCGCTTTGCTCAAAGATGTTAAATTTTGCACCTAGATCTTCTAGTTCCTTTTGGCGACCAGAAAACCACTTATTCCGATCAGGAATCTTGAACAACCCTGTGACTGGCTTTCTTGCCTCCCTATCTTCAGTGACTTGCAATTTTGCCAGGGACTCAGAAACTTCCTGTTGCCATGACTCCACACTACCTACCCTCTGCTCCAACTTAACTTGTCCCTTTTCAAGTGTCTGCAATCTTTCATCTTGGACTTCTTGCTCCTTTGCTACAGTAGAATTTATGTCCGCCTGTTTCTGTTGGAACTCTGTTAGACTTCTATCCATGCTATCTGCCTTCTCAGCCACTGCACCTACTTCTTTTTCAACATTTGCCTCCCTGTCTTCAAGAGAACGTACTTGTTCTGCAAGTTGTCCCTGACCATCCTCCAAAGTTGTTACACGGCCTTCAATTTCTGTGACACTCTGTCCAATGGTGTCAACATCCTTTCTTAAAGTTGCCTGACCATGTTCAAACTTTCCTTCTGTTTGAGCCAAGACTTCCTTCATGCTTTTAAGTTGTTCTACAAGCTTTTCCACTTCACTGTCACTTGATTCATTGTATTTGACAAGATTGCTCTGCATTTCTGCCACATCCTGTTGTACCACTCTCAATAGGTCCTTGTCAATGACTTGCCCCAAAATCAGCTGCACTCCTAGAGTTCAATCAAAGAAGCCGTTTGATATCATATCTGTGTATATATGTCAAGCATGTATCAGCTATTCCAAACAATTAGAGACAAAGTCCTCCATTCATTGTGGACATCTGCTTATAGTTGAAATGTGCATTATAATATTACATCTACTGGTATCAGAAAAGTGTAATAATTGTAGTTTTCAGATTTTTAAAAATCATGCAATCCACAGCTTCCATGTAACTTAAATATATTCTCTTTGGTGGCTCCTGGCCAGATCCTTAAGACCAGTTTGACCAACTCAAGTGCTGTCAACCTACTCTGGACCTACGCCACCTATTCTGTGGACTGAATAGATTCAAGAAGGACTGTAGATCTGGGCATACATGCTGGCAAATATGGAACCTAAATCTTCCACTTACCTCTCTGTTCCCAGTCCCTCAGATCCTGCACACATTTCTGTTCAGCTGCGCTGGGTAACTTCAGGGACTTCACCAGCATTTCCATCAGCTGGAAGCATCTAGTACATGTACGTAATACAAATTGTAATTTTTGTAAATAGAAAAAAAAGCATTTTGTACATGTTGGTTACTTATAACAGACATGTATACCACTTTGAAAATACAAGGCCTTGCACCCAAATCAGTGTGTCCTCGCTGCAAATATTTCAAGATTTACATTAGGGCAATTTGTGGCCAAGAAAGGTAGTGCTGTGTCAATAATTTGATTGGTGCCTAAAGAGTGACAAAGGTTAAAAATCTCATTGATACAAACTAAGCATCTGCCCCCACCTTAAGAAGTGCATCTGTGTCCAGTCACTGAAGTCACAGTGTGCCCACTTGTTCCTTACTTCACTCCGTACTTGAGACGCTGCGTCCCTGACATCTTGACTGAAGTCTGCCACATTACAGAGTAACCCCAACAATGCAGACATGTCACAGGAATCATCAAACCCTGTCATGTGTGCCATGAAGGGCTGTAGGAACAGCTTGGCAAAGTCTACGTGATTGGATACCCTGTAGTCATACTTATTCCCTGCGGCTCTGTGTCTGTTGTTGTTGATGTTACGGTAGTTAAGTTTGTGTCCTTTGTAGTCTTTTATATAATTATGGAATGTCTGAGTATGTAATATGTGATTTGAAGACTTCATGTTATGATAGTATTTTTGCATACTGGATTTGACATATTTCCTTAATGGAGGAGTTATGATTCTGTGGAGACAACATCCCACCACAAGATATCTCTTCTCAGCCTCTCTTAGGTCAAAAGCTGCAGTAGTTCCTGCTGGAAAAAAAGTAGACACTTAATTTACCTTTAAATTGCCATTTCCTCTTCTACAAAGTGGAGAATGGCCAAGGCAATGAAGGTTTCGATACAGTTGTAATGCTATGTATAAGGTATGTGATCGTTGAACTCTATCTTGTACTCACCTGTATTGCTGTTGACCACACACACAGTCCTTGGCTGGACCGGTAAAGTCAGATTAGGGAGCTGTATTCCGGAGACCGCCATACTTGAAAGTTCGCTAGTTACACATATTGTTGTTACAACTTTATGTTACATAACTCTATAGACGTCAGCTGAATGATATGGTGGTATCATGAGTCCCTTTAAGATCAAGGTCAGCCCGTTGTAGGAAACTCACAAACTCGCAGCACTAAAATATAATATCTAATATGGTCCTCTGTGAATCCATGCAGACAAATTTTGACGATGAAATTCGAACGCCTGGAACAGTGTGGAACGAACTTCCGGGTACTGCGGGATGCCTGTGGCTATTGACAGGATCGTCCTGTCAATAGCAGAAAATATTGTACTGCTGACAGGATCGTCCTGTCAATAGCAGAAAATATTGCACTGCTGACAGGATCGTCCTGTCAATAGCAGAAAATATTGCACTGCTGACAGGATCGTCCTGTCATAGCAGAAATTTGCACTGCTGACAGGACGATCCTGTCAATAGCCTCAGGCCAGAAAATTTGCACTATTGACAGGATGGTCCTGTCAATAACAGAAAAAATTGAATATACTGTTGACAGAATGGTCCTTTCAATAACAAAAAAAATGCACTATTGATAGGATGGTCCTTCCGTTTTTTTCACCCAAAGTTGGGTTGGGTGAAAAAACATTCCAGTGCAAAATAGAAACCCCGATAAAAACACGCCAAAAATAACCCAAAACCCAAACTTCTGCTTGGAGAGTAACATAACGTTAGAAATAAATGGAAAACATAACCTCGGCAAAAAAAAAGTGATTATAGTCGGGGCGCACCACTTACTACTTATCATCAAAGTTTTCTGCCGCGCCACTTTCGCCTTCATGGATAATGAATGAACAGTACAGTACTTTCTTCAGCCTCATAAATCATACGTAGAGAACGGACGAGAGAAACACTAGTAGCTCAGACCATTTCCTCTGATATGAATGTCAACCGTTCCATGATCAGACACCCGTGGAAATTATCGCAGTTGAAATAAGGGGCTAGCCTGGGTGCCATCCGTTTTGTTTTCGAAAGGCTATTAAACTCGCGACCCCAAAGCCATAACAGCTAGACTGATCATGAAAGGTCCGCAGGACCCGTTGGACTGGCGTACGTATAGCAACATGTTTTCTTGTAAAGAATGCTGCCTCTCAGAAGTTTAGGAAGGGTGTATTAATATAGAACAGGCTTTTGCCTTAGCTTACATGTTTGGACATGGCCCCCTTTTCGAAGGTACGGCGACCAAATAAAGTTAGATTGCGCAACTGTGTGACGCTTCATTTCTTAATTCGAATATGACGCATAATGTTAAGGTATGATTATAAGACAACAAAACATACTCTGAAAAACCTTTAAAATCGTTCTTTATCTATCAAATTCGTTTCGTTTTCGTCATTGGCCATCACGGTGGCGCAAACAAGGAGGGGTGCTCTTACAGGCAACTTTGAGTTTATCAGAAGAAAGTTTGATCCTGCGTGTCTGAAGTGTTTGCAATCATACACTGAAATAGGTCAAGGAAATCACCTTTAATAGTGAGATTTGAACAAAGCTTGAGCTCTAAATACAATATACACAACAGGGCAGCCGCCATTTGATGTTGGCGAGACAATCTTTAATACAACCATTTTATTTTCTAGGCCAATCCTAGATTACCTGACTGGTTTGTGCAAAAACGTTTTACGCAAGCTCTTGACAAATAATGTACATATGAAAAGACTATCTGAAGATTATTCAGAAAGCAATCTAATGTTTTGGCCACGCCTCGGGAGCGGAGATACACACACCTTACGTTATCGTCATCGCTTTGAACATATTCCGAAACCTGAGAACCGGTTACTGGTCAATGTTGGTTCCTGTTGGCCCGCTAGATAGTACAGTTTGCTGCACCCGAATGCTGTACCCTCCAGCGGACCAACTCCCCTGGCATCTCTCTATTTGACCGATTTCTACTCTTTCCAGCCGCCTCCCGAAGCCTGGTAGAGGCTAATCCCGGCGAGCCCGGCTACGATGGTCTGGATACCAGGCGTGATTGATATAGATATATACAAATAAGCCAAGATATGTCCACTATGAACAGTTTTATTTCTCATTCAAAGAATTCATTACAAGTTTTAACATGGAATATTTCTTATTTATTTATTGCAACATCTGGGTGTTAGGTTCATACAAACGAAGTTTTTTCAGGAAATTGAACTGTTCTGGGATACCAATGTATATATATTAACCTCGTGTGCTTGGATGTCGGCTAGACAATCTTACAACGATCTTACTTTCTAGGCCAATCTTAGATTACCAGACCGGTGTGTGTAAAACCCAAGCTCTCGAACAATAATGTAAACATGAAAAGAATATCTCATCTCTTAGTTTAGAACTTAATCTAAATTTTTGGCGACGCCTCTGGGGCGGAGCGTGAATGAGTAAGTAAGTATCATCATGAACGTTAAAAGTGATTGGGAACAGTGGTTCAAAAATTGCAGAACGTTTATGGCATATGAGCTAAAGAGCTAAAATATAAGCTCTGTATTGTTCTGTATTCATATTGTAGTTTTTGGGAGGACAACTTGTAAAGATGTAAATACACCTGTTTTTCCCTTCCTTCCACTTGTATGTTTGTACTTGTGGTAAATTCAAATAAACAAGAAAGCTAAGATGTCGAAGCTAGTCTTCAGGATCCAGCACAGAGGCCGTTTGCGCGCTGTCGGTTCCGTACGTCGCCGGAATCGCATGTTCGTCGCCTGCCTGTGTCGTTTCTGTTTCGTACAGGCGATTATTTTCCTCGCTCTTCGCGACGACAGTGGAAAACCTTGTCTCTGCCGCTGATGCGTAGAAGGTGACTGAATCACCACCGATATCTTCATCTGTAATATTCCAGTACTGGTGCGGAAGAGATGCTGGTCTTGGTGCGCTGTTTGCTGTATTGTCTGGGACTGTCCTAGGCCTGTTACGGAGAAACGTGTCAATTGGAAGTGATGACGGTCGATGCTGGTCTCGAATGGTGTCGGCGTCTGGGATTTCACAATAGCGGGCTTCGTCTGTTGTCGGGTCGCGAGTGTAGTTCGCGAGGGCGTCCGGAATTTTCCAAGGGGTCCTGGTTTCGTCCGAATTTGGAACGGATCCGGAATCAACTAGGGCGTCCGGAATTTCCCAATAATGGGGAGTGGGAAGTTCATCTGTTGTCGGCTCGCCAGTGGAGGCTACAAGGACGCCCTGAATTTCTCGAGAGTTGCGGATTTCGTCCGAATCCGGAACGGAGTCAACTAGGGCGTCCGGAATTTCCCAATAATGTGGAGCATCAAGTTTTCCCGGGGCCGGTTGTTCAGTGGAATCTACGAGAGAGTCCGGAATTTCCCAATAGTGCGGGGCATCGAATGGGGTGTCACGAGAGCTTCTTCTGTTTCTATTTGCAAAATTATTAGGCACTGAAAACTGACGTTGGAGATGCGTACATGTATGCAGCCTGTCAAAGATTCGCATGTCCTGGAGCGCCACAACTGGAAACGACGAAGCTCTTCCTCTTGCATTTATATTTTTCATCGCCATAGATAAAGTTGGTTGACCTTGGTTGTCTGTATGGAAATGAGAGTTTCTGCCATTGTTTCTGCCAGCTAACTGTCGTTTTCTATACACGTAGGCCAGGGTAAGACCAAGGCAAAATAGACCCACTGCGACCAATGCCAATATGAATCCCAATGTGACATGTTGTTTTTCTGGACGCTCATCAGGATCTAATGTTCTGTAAGGCAACGTTTTTCTTGTGGTGGTTGTGTCTTTTAGATTAAAAGTAGTTTTAGTCACCATTTTTCTCGTGGTTGTGTCTTTTAGATTAAAAGTATCTTTAGTCTCCATTGTTTTTGCGGTTGTGTCTTTTATCCCAGTGGTATTGTACGAAACTGTACTGTTGTCGGTAGTATCGTGAACTTGGTTTTCCAAGCACGTTTTGCCAGAGATGACTTGTGTGGGATGAAAAGAGGAAATTGATGCCTTGTCCGGTGTAAGCGAAAGACAGGTCACATTTCTTATTTCTTGACCTCGAACGTCATTGAGTCGCCGTCTCATACCCTCTCGAATATTTGAACTGTTTTCCGTTTCTGTCGACTTCTCATCGAATATAAGTGCCGTATTTGCTCTTGTGCTATTTCTGTATGTCTGGATATCCGCAGTAACAAGTCGAATGTTGAGACTAGCCTTCAGAAGCAACTGTATTCCTTTTTCCTGCTTCCAGGCAGATACACACTGCTCCTTGGCAGTCGCACCTGCTTTAGCCAATACAATAACGAATGGTGACACAAGCATTGCTGACTTTGGGAGAGTCGCCGATCCATCCATTGCAGGTGCAGAACAAAAGTCGTTAGCCCCTAAAATATCATCTTTGGATTTCCTCTCATTCCACTCTAGTAGGTATTCGTTGTCGTGGCCATATCTTTGCCCTAAACAGAGAATGGAGTTTTCAATAACCGCAGATATTTTTCGCATTTGGGAACTAATGTGAAGAGAGAGACTCCACTGTTTTGTGATATCAATATCGACGCTGTGTGTATTTGAGAGTTTTATGGTCAGCAATGACATGAGCTCGATGTTGTCAAAACCATTAAAAAGCTCCGGAGAGAGACATGCCTGTACCAACCTGTTCCGGCTTACGTCCACTAGGCGAAGCGTGTGCTGGTTGAAAGATTGAAAGGTTCTACCGTGGATTGTTTCGATGCGATTGAAGCCCAGGACAAGTTCCCTTAGCTCACGAAGACCTACAAAACTAGAATGGTCTATAAACGTTAGCTGGTTTCCCCAAAGTACCAACTCCCAAAGGCCAATGAGGTCTTGGAAACAACCTGTTTCTAGGTGTGAAATATGGTTGTGCGCGAGGGACAAGGTGCTAAGATGTCCTAAACC